CATGGTTGCGGAGCTCCTGCGTGGAGCTAGGTGCGTGACAGGTAGAAGTAAAAGCCGTCCAAACGCCACCTCAAAGTGCATGTGACAGACCCGGCATCCCCCCCTTGCCCCCCAAAACAAAGATGAAAGTGTAAGTTTCTGTGAAGGCACTTTGTGAAGCAGCCAGTTTGCAGTTCGCAGCATCTGTGTGTGTAGATGCTGGAAAGAATGATTATCTTGATCTTTGCTGAATCATTGTGTGGAGGGGGTGCGGGGGAACGTGCCCGTATTTGAGAAATTGTGGCGGATTAGGCCGGAGGTAAACAACTTCTGATGGAATAACAGCGTGGCCAATTTCTCTTATTTTGCTACCAAAAAATAGACAGAGAAAAACAAGGGTGCAAAGGTGCAACTTTCGGAAATGTGAATGAGAAACCATATAGGTTCTTTTTTCTACTCTGAAAAAGTTGCACCTTTGCACTGCACCTTCCAAAATTTGGCAATGTACAAGGGAAGTGTTTCCACATTTGCTGATCTTTGTGTTGCTATGGGAACAGCACGTCGCCATGTCCAGGGGGTTTGTTTTTGGCACCTGAAATTTTGGGGACGCGGTGAGGGCCTCCCTGGTAGAGATGCTCTAAGGAAGAGGACCCTCTCTAGAACTGAGAGTGACAGACTTCGCGGCTGGCTTCAGTTCGCTTCCAACCAACTAACTCTTTGGTCGAAGGTTCATTTGGTCGAAGGTTCAGAAATTGCCTTAAGGACCCCAACGGGCATGTCAGCCGGGGCTTCAGCACCATTGCCTCTGATCTCACTGCATCCTCGAACTCATGATTGAGTTGCTGGAGAGGAATACAGCAAGGCCAGCGGATGCAGTTTTCAAAGAATGGGTCCACGTTTACGTTGACGCGTCCTTTCAGCCTGCAGGCTACTGTGGAGTAGGTGGTGCCATCTTCTTTTTTCTCCTCGGAATGCGGCCGCAATGCTCTAGTGGCACGGTTCTTGGAGTAGGTGGTGCCATCTACGACAGTTCAGGCAAGTGCCTGTCCTTTTTCAGTGAACAAGTCTCTCAAGAGCTGCTGAACCTCATGAAGAGGGATGGCCAAGAAACTGTCATTTTCAAACCGGAAGGACTGGGCATTGCTGCCGCCTTACACTTATTTCGACCTTTAGTGAGAGGGAAACGTGTGGTGGTGTTTGCGGACAATCAAGCTACACAGTCTTGTTTCGTGAAATGCAAATCCAAGAACGACCATATGAACCTCATCATCAGGTCCACATGCTCCGTAGAAGAGACTCTGGGCTTAGTCACCTCGATGTCAAACCCATCAGAATCTTGTCCAGGGAAAAGTCCACTACTTGGGACTGGATGTCGGCCCAATTGACCTGACAAACCTCTGGAGCATGTGCCTCTGAGAGGAAGGAGAGCCGCGAGACACGCTCAAATGAGACGTCGTGTTTGCCCCCAGCGTAAAAAAGAGAGAGCACGTTAGCAGCGAGTTGTTTCAGTTGTGATCGGAAGCTTTCACATGTGAACATTTTCAGAGCAAGTCCTTTGGGAACATTCCCCACACATGTCCGTAGACAAACTCAAGGAGCAATTCAAACATCAAACAAGCACATAAAACATATTTTGTGCCGTGCTTTAAGGGGGGCGGCTGAACAGGGGGCTTAAGGGGGACCTTCAGGCAAGGGGGACTCTCAGGCAGGGGCTTAAGGGGGACTTTAAGGGGGGTCTTGAGGGGGTCTTTAAGCGGGACATTAACCACTTCAACGAAGGGGGTGGCCCGCCCTCGAAGCGGTGTTGCTAAACCGATAAAGCAAACGACCAAGGGTATCTCATTCTTCTAAACGAATGTTCCCACTCCACCTGCTGTCATCTCCACCTGAGCCATAGTATAATCACTCCTTCGGGTGGTGGTCCCCCTTGGGACCTGAAGGAGCCCACTCCACAAAGGAATGCGCTCCTTCCACCCCCTTCTCTGAAGTCATTCGGAGACCAAAGCGCTTTGAGTAGGGGTCAGACTGCGCTTCCTTACCTTGAAGCGATCCACAGCGTAACGCTTTCAAGGGTCAATGGTCGCTGCCATAGCTGAAAGCAAATCTATCTCACTGGCTAACTCGAGCAAATATCCAGCACTCGTCACCGACACGTCCATTACAAGTTGGCCTCTATCCCAACTCTCTCCATCTTTAATCTCTCTCCCACCCTATTCTCTCCATCTCTAATTTCTCTACATCTCATTCTTCCAATCTCTCGACATCTTACCCTCTCCACATTTTCACTGTCCGTATCAAGGAGTTTAGACAGCTAAACTTCCTTTGACAACAGTTCCATGCACTTCGTGGCGGTCTGCTCTGTCGAAAGTGCCCTCCCCAGCTGAAGCTGTACCAGCCTGACAGATCTGTCCGTATCACTCGGTGCTAAGCTAGCACCCCTCGTTCGGTGCGGGCCGATTTGGCGTGTTGTCTCCTGGAGATGCCTTTGGCAGAAGATGCCCTGCGGCAGAGCTCTCCTGCCGTGTCAAGGTGGGAGATTTTTCAAGCAGCTGGTGTCAGAGCAGCGGTTGCAGCTTTTCCTGTGCACACGCTGTTGTTCCGTGCTGGTGCTCTGTATTGATGTCAACTTGTGTTGTTATTGTTGTCGTTGTGGTTGTGGTTGTTGTTGTTGTTGTTGCTGCTGCTTCTGTTGTTGCTTGTTCCTTGTTGCTGGTTGCTTGTTGGTTGTTTGTTTGTTTGTTGTTTGCGGTTTGTTGTTTGCTGCTGCTGCTGCTGTTGCTGCTGCTGCTGTTGTTTGTTGTTTGTTGCTGCTGTTGTTTGTTGTTGCTGCTGCTGTTGTTCATTCTAGTCGCCGTTGTGCCTGTGCTGGTCGCATTCTTCTCCATGTTTGTTTTGGTTTGTGTATTGGTTTTGAATTATTTTGTTGTCCGTGGAGGTTCGGATGCCTGAGAAACAGTTTTCGCCCCTTCTTTGTTGATACGATGTCGTTGTAAAAAAACTCAAAAGTAAAGAAGGTTTTCATTTTTCAGCAAGCATGACGCATACATAGCGACGCTCTCTCATTGCAGTGTTGGTGCTGCATTGTTTTGTTTGGAACGGATCAAAAAAACACATTATGTTATATCTTCACACACATTCCAAATGTATTTGTTTCCGGTGTTTCCGGGAAAACATTTCTTGGTTGATTGCTTTGAACAGAATCAAAAACTATGCAATTGTTGTTCTGTTGTTTGTGTCTACGTTTGCTGTGGTGGTTTTGGAATTGGTGAAGTTTGGGCCCCAAACATTTTGAATTTGTGATTCGCTTTTGCGTTTACAAACATAGGGCTTGATTAGTTCCCGACAAATTGTCAAAAAATAATTTCGATCACACACATCCAAAACCCTCACGTTGCTGGAACACGTGAACATGAACACATTGTGCATTTTTTCTGTTGTTGCCAGCATTTTTTGTGTCTTGCATGTACTTCTGGCTCTGGTATTCTTGCTGGTTCAAGACGAATTTTTTGGGAAATGAAACTGACATGAAACAACATATGTTTTTGCATGAAAACCATTTTTCTTTATTATTGGGCATGAGGAAACGTTTTGAGCAAAACATGTTTCAAAGATGAACTGACCATGTATCATTCTGGCACCGCAGAATATCACCAAACATGATTGCATTCCTTGTGCGTGTACATGGCGAACATTTTCAGAAGTGCCCTAGCGCCAAAGTCACTGCACATTTTCAAAAATGTATTTGTTTTGCGGTTTTGCATTTTTTTGTCGTCGTTTTCCATATTTTCAATTTCACCCAGGCAACTTGGAACGTGGAGGGTGTTGTGACTCTCGCAATGCATGAATTCTTCCAGGCACTGAACGTCATGAATGGCATGGTTGAAAACATATTGGCAATAACCAAATTAACATATTTGGTATTGAACGGTTGCTACACACATGCGCAGTCAATGCACATCGGAAAAAATATGTTTGACTGCAACATCGGAATCAAATGTCTGTTGTTGAATTTTCAGGTGTACAAACTTACGTGACAACTGAACAAAAAACAATATGAACATGTGTACAGTGATCCATGTACCATCAAACGTAGATTCGACGAAAAATGTATCATTGGGTACTTATTGATGCCTGTCAACAGTCAACAATTTGATTCCCCGACACACTGACCCCGATTTCCCAAAATACAGTACTTGTGCATTATTCAAATTCAAATTGTCAACGGTTTTTTTCTACTAACAGATTGCATCAATAGTTGTGGAACCATGTTTGACCAAATTTAATTTTTACATGTCAGACTTGTCAGGCAGTGGTGTTGGCGGTGTGGCTTTGCTGCCAGGCTGGATGATTTAATAAAGGCATCTCCACCAATTCAGGGTGTCTGGTTTGTTTTTGTCCCAGTTCCCAGAAAATGTTCAATTCGTGTGCAGGTTCAGGCATTTTTCGAGTATGAATTCAATGTCATTTCATCCGGTGCCGACTACACCTTGGCCGTCCAAACAGTTCCGCCCTCAGTGTTTGTGTTTTCCACACGAATTGGAAATGGACAGATGTGTTTTGCTGAGGATGGCACTCCCTTGTCTTGGGGTTTTCCGTTCAGCGAACGGGGAAAGGCTTGAGAGATTGCATTTGAAATGACCTATTGTGTTTGCAGCAACACGCAATATTTTTTTTTGTGAACAGTCATTTTGGCATAAATCACAAAGTGTGCAGCAATCCTTCCAATTGCCATAGTGCTCAATACCGAAATGCTCAAATGCGAACTTTATTTGCACTCCCATTTCAATCAATGCAGTCTACAAGTTCGCTTGAGTGTCACAGTTGAGTTTCACTGTTGACTCTCACTGTTGAGTCTGTTTCACAAAAAAACATACATTCTTGAAACTTTGGACATGTTTTCTTATGTCATGGGCAACAAAACTTACTGAAGCAGGAAGTGAAACGTCCTAGAATTGCTAGAGAACGACATGGATGAAAATGATGAACATGTTTTTGTACCTTTGTGTTGAAGGAACTGATGCATGGCATGGTTTTCCTGTGGCTGTTTGGAAGTCCCATGGGCCAAGCTTCAGGAGTACTTGTGGCTTGCCGGCACGCCACACACAAACACATCAACACATCAAAACAAGAATTCCATGCAGCATGAAACCCTCTGATGGATCGAAGAGATGCCGAACCACTCATTTTGGCTGCTGGAGTGTTTCATTTTGATTCTTCGTGTTTGTCTCTTGGCTTCCTTTGGGTCGATTCAGGTCCTCTTCCGTGAACCTCTATGGAGATGACTCGGCAGTTCTGGCCTGAAAGTGATCCCTTTTCTCTCTGCGATTCCACTTGAGTGCGCTTCAATCTCTTGTAAAACTGGCATGCAGAATGAACCAAGGTTTATGCAGAGCGACGTGACTTGCTCGAGCTGGTGACGCAACTGGAGAGCATTCAAGAGAGCCGAGTAGCAGTTGATCAGTGCTTATTAGCGGACCTGGTCAGAATCTTTTCTGCAGAATTTCCACAGTTGTTCCATCTTGCCTTCATATTGACACCAATGCCTCCCTTGATGCTGTTGCTGTTACATATTGCTGTTAAGTCTGTTCCAGCGACCCCAGCCGCCTAGGAAGGTACGATGCGCAGAAGGGGCGCATTCCTCGTGCAGCATCGATGGTTTATGAGCTGCCCAATGTTGAGGCTTTTGAGGATCGAGAATACAAGATGCTTCCTCTGCCGACGCAAACAAAGCGACCGATCCTTGAAGGTCATCCAATAGATATTCGATATATATATATATATATCGATGCAAGCGCACACGGTTGAAACTAGTTGAAACAGAGAGACTTTTCCATGTGTGTTTGTCAATTTTTGTCGCCTAATTTTCCTTTTGCGAATCTACACCAGGCACCACAAGCGCAGAGCTGCTCCAACATCTAAAAGACGATTTTGATGTCCCTTTACATCCACACTTCGTTCAGAAGATTCTTGATATGGGAATCAAGATGTACAGGAAACTGAATGAGAGGCATGGTGCAGTCTTGCACCTGGCTGTACCTGGACTGGACAGAATGTCTCAAGAGGTGAAGCTCTCACATACTTCAGATGCTGTGCCAATTGAACCAAGGACCGAAGTTGGCCATCCAATACTGCACTGACAATGGTTCACCAATGGTTCACTAAGTTTACCATGGCATATTATAAGACATGACACTATGTGGGCGGCAAAATTCAGTATTCTTTACTATATGTACTACTTCTTGAGTCTATATATGTCTATGATTGTCTATGCATATTTTTCCAATTCCTGGACACCCTTCAAACAAAAAGGGCAGCCACAATATGTGCAAATATTAAAAACCATGTATACAGATTAGATTAGATTGGATTGGATTCAATAAGGTAAGGTAAGATTAGATAGAGACACAATATCTAAATGTGTGACATATGTACACAGAGTCTGGTGTACGACACAGTACCACAGTCGAGACCACGAAGCACAAGCAGCTTGCACCAGGATTGTGGTTCTTGGGGACACACACGGCCAGCTTGGAGATGTGTTGTGGGCTATTTCGAAGTTTGGTATGCCCAATGAGAGAAATGTCTATGTGGTCAACGGTGACATAGCATCTTGGCGGAAACATGCAGCAAACTATGTTGGAACTGCGTAGGATCTTCTGTATCCAAGTGCAAAACATGGCACAAGACCAGATAAGAAACATGAGAAGACATGATTCGCAGGATTGTTCCATTGGTGGCGTTTCAGAGGCGTCGTAGCACTTTCTAGAACCAGAGCTCAAGACCGTTCTGAGTGGCAGGCGGATCGCTGTGATTGGTCCACAGAAATTTTCGTGCTCTTCTTGACGATAATGCTGCAATATCCCAACGATACAGTTGTGGTCATCAACCGTGGCAATCATGAATGCGTGACGATGAATGGTTCTCGATGTGGTGGCTTTCAGTATGAGCTTGCGGAGAAGTATGGTCCCACCTGGGGTCCGGCTCTTCATAGTTTGTTTGGCCAACTGTTTGCCTTGCTGCCATTGGCAACCATCATCCAAGACACGGTTCTGATCCTTCATGGTGGTATTGGCCGGGACCCGGAAAATCAGCTAGAGAGCCTCAAGGACAGGGAAACGTACAATAATTGCCGGTGAAAGTTGACTCAGGAAAACAGGTGAAACATGCTGAAACTATTGAATGTTTGTCCATTCTCATTGTTGTTTGGTACTCTCCATCATTGATTTGTACATGCCCATTCTCACCTGTGCGCATCATGGTGGCCTACGGTCAGGTCAGATACATTGGGCATTTATTTCATGCCTAGCCTATAGATAGATAGATAGATAAGATAAGATAAGATAAGATACGATAAGATAAGATAAGATAAGATAGATAAGAAAGATAGATAGATGGATAGATTAGATAGATTAGATAGATTAGATAGACTAGATAGATTAGATAGATTAGATAGATTAGATAGATTAGATAGATTAGATAGATTAGATAGATTAGATAGATTAGATAGATTAGATAGATTAGATAGATTAGATAGATTAGGATTAGATAGATTAGATAGATTAGATAGATTAGATAGATTAGATAGATTAGATAGATTAGATAGATTAGCTAGATTAGATAGATTAGATAGATTAGATAGATTAGATAGATTAGATAGATTAGATAGATTAGATAGATTAGATAGATTAGATAGATTAGATAGATTAGAAGATTAGATAGATTAGATAGATTAGATAGATTAGATAGATTAGATAGATTAGATAGATTAGATAGATTAGATAGATTAGATAGATTAGATAGATTAGATAGATTAGATAGATTAGATAGATTAGATAGATTAGATAGAGTAGATAGATTAGATAGAGTAGATAGATTAGATAGAGTAGATAGATTAGATAGAGTAGATAGATTAGAGAGATTAGACAGTTTAGATAGAGTAGATAGATTAGAGAGATTAGACAGTTTAGATAGATTAGATAGATTAGATAGATTAGATAGATTAGATAGATTAGATAGATTAGATAGATTAGATAGATTAGATAGATATAGATAGATAGATAAGATAGATAGATAGATAGATAGATTGATAGATAGATAGATAGATAGATATTAGGACATTCCCCCCCTTGTAACAGCCAAATAATGGATTTCCACATATCAGAGAAGCAAAATGAAGCACCAGGAAAATAGCCCAGAATGACATTAACTTTTCGGATAGGTAGGAAACTTCATCATTCCATTTGGTGCTTTCTAACCCTTTATGTCTTGGTCCTCTTTTCCTTGGCATTTGTTTCATCAGGTGGCTTGGAGTTGGTGTCCAGCTCATCTTTCTTTTCATGATTCTCCCTCCAAGAATCCTACCACCATATCACATGTCATTCTCTAAGGTGCTGTCTTGTCTCCAATTCTGTCTCATTGGTCTCCACCCCCAAAGTTACCAGACTGGGATCCCCTATATTGCTTTGACATCCCATTGCCTTGACATCCCATTGGCTGTGACATCCCTTTGCTTTGGCATCCCTTTGCTTTGACATCCCAGACATGTGGCATAGGTTGTGTTGTGTGATCATTTGAATTCAAAAGTGATTTGGGCCATGGGCCGCATGGATCTGATTCTATGGTATTTGCGGTCAGTCACACGGTATGGTCGGCCATGCAAAATCCTAAACCCTACACCCAAAAAACTCATGCCATTAAATCGGGCATTGTTTAATGTTGATGGATGCAACAATGCAAAGTAAAAAACAAAAAAAAGCAAAAGGAGAGGCCACAAACGGAGCACCAGCAGAGGCACCACAAAGGACCAAACGGAGCACCAGGAAAGGTGCCGAAAAACACCTTCGGGAGACAGCCTGTCAACGGTAAAGTTGGCCAATTTCGGCTGTCCTTGTCGCCGTGTGCGCTTTGCAAAAAAAACACAATCAGAGACCACAAGCGGAGCACCAGAGAGACCAGAGGTTTTGCCAGAACGGAGCACCAGCAAGTCCAACCAGAGAGCACAAACGAAGCACCAGAAAGTAGAATCAGAGACCACAAACGGAGCACCAGAGAGACCAGAGGTTTTGCCAAAACGGAGCACCCGCAAGTCCAATCAGAGAGCACAAATGAAGCACCAGAAAGTACAATCAGAGACCACAAACGGAGCACCAGAGAGACCAGAGGTTTTTCCAAAACGGAGCACCAGCAAGTCCAATCAGAGATGCATCAAGATACCTGATTCAAATCCTTACTTACCGACCACAACCAGAGACCACAAACCGACCACCAGGAAATCCAATCAGAGACCAGAATCAGAGAGCACAAACGAAGCACCAGAAAGTAGAATCAGAGACCACAAACGGAGCACCAGAGAGACTAGAAGTTTTGCCAAAACGGAGCACCAGCAAGTCCAATCAGAGAGCACAAATGAAGCACCAGAAAGTACAATCAGAGACCACAAACGGAGCACCAGAGAGACCAGAGGTTTTGCCAAAACGGAGCACCAGCAAGTCCAATCAGAGAGCACAAACGAAGCACCAGAAAGTACAATCAGAGACCACAAACGGAGCACCAGAGAGACCAGAAGTTTTGCCAAAACGGAGCACCAGCAAGTCCAATCAGAGAGCACAAACGAAGCACCCGAAAGTACAATCAGAGACCACAAACGGAGCACCAGAGAGACCAGGGGTTTTGCCAAAACGGAGCACCAGCAAGTCCAATCAGAGAGCACAAATGAAGCACCAGAAAGTACAATCAGAGACCACAAACGGAGCACCAGAGAGACCAGAGGTTTTGCCAAAACGGAGCACCAGCAAGTCCAACGAGAGAGCACAAATGAAGCACCAGAATGTACAATCAGAGACCACAAACGGAGCACCAGAGAGACCAGAGGTTTTGCCAAAACGGAGCACCAGCAAGTCCAATCAGAGAGCACAAATGAAGCACCAGAAAGCACAATCAGAGACCACAAACGGAGCACCAGAAAATCAGCCAAAAAATGTGTTTTTTTCTAGAGATTTCCATTTACAATTGATTTTAATTGGCCAGCTTACCCAGCTCTCCCAGTGCTACTTTGCACTACAAAGCTTGCACAAAGCACTTCCCAGTACTACTTTGTACTACAAAGCTTGCACAAAGAACTTCCCAGTACTACTTTGTACTACAAAGCTTGCGCAAAGAACTTCCCAGTACTACTTTGTACTACAAAGCACAAAGTATTTCCCAGTACTACTTTGTACTACAAAGCTTGCACAAAGCACTTCCCAGTACTACTTTGTACTACAAAGCTTGCACAAGCTACTTCCCAGTACTACTTTGTACTGCAAAGCTTGCACAAAGCACTTCCCAGTACCACTTTGTACTACAAAGCTTGCACAAAGTATTTCCCAGTACTACTTTGTACTACAAAGCTTGCACAAAGCACGTTCCATTACTACTTTGCTTTGGCAACCCATGCCTATGTTGATGGCACCATGGAGCTTCGGCAGGGGTAGTGGAAAAAAGTGTTTTCTGATTTAAACATGGCTGTATGTTGGGACTTCTGATCAGAGATAAGCTCAATTTGGAACATTTTTGTGGTGCTCCGTTTGTGCTGTCCAGTTGTGGTCACTGTTACAAGGAAGGGGAATGTCCTAAGATAGATAGATAGATAGATAAATAGATAGATAGATCGGTCGATCGATCGATAGATAGATAGATAGATGGATAGATGGATAGATGGATCGATGGATCGATGGATCGATGGATCGATGGATCGATGGATCGATGGATCGATGGATCGATGGATCGATGGATCGATGGATCGATGGATAGATGGATAGATGGATAGATGGATAGATAGATAGATAGATAGATAGATAGCTGGGGTTGAATTCTCTGGATCTACCAAAGCTTTGTTCCTGGAACTGATGGCAGGTTCAACCTTGCTGTTTTGCATTTCTTAGCTTGCAGTCACTGTAGTTGCTTTTAATTTTCGCTGTTGTGGCTCTCTGCTGTGAATTGCTCGCGTAGTGAAAAGTGTGTAAAATCAAACTGATTGTGAGACCTGTCGGTATGACTTGTGCATTACCTATACATTACCTGTGTGCATTTTGTGCATTTTGTGCATTGTCGGTGGCCACGGTTTTTGGTTTCGGCGAGGAACGGCAGGCGTTGAACAGAGAGGCTTCGATCAATCCGTGGGGCATCGAAGGCGACGAGGCGATGGACGCCTTGGTGGATGCACTTTGGGCAGATCCTGGAGAGCTGCCTGGGAGTCAACCGAACCCTCGAGGAGCTGGACATGTGTGGGGTCCTGACTATACTCGAAGATTCCTCAAAAGCACAAATCTTAAGCTCGTCATCAGATCGCATCAAGTGCCCGTTGACCAGAATCTTGAGAGATGCCAGCAATATTTTTGTTGCGGTTTTGCCATTTTACCGTATTACCTTCGAGCTAAAAGCTGAGCAAGATCGGGGGTCAATTTGTAAAGTGCCGTTAAGCAGACTGGATTCTTGCTCTGCTTGTTGAACAGGCGCCTTTTTAGACATGCAATGCACATGTGCACAAGAGATCTAAACATGTACCGTACACCACGTTGAATTTCTCCGATGTATGCTGAGAGCAAAACCATTTTAGAATTCTCTTGTTGCAGTTGTGCTGCTGAGCATTGCCGAGGAGCGGTGTTTTTGTACACCACGGGCATGACAGCCAGGTTATCACAGTCTTCAGTGCATCCAATCACAGGCTACAAGTTCAGCTGAATATGGTCACTATGGTGTGTTTCTTTTTCGTGAAATTCTCCATCACATGCTTCCCATGTGCTGGCCATCGAATAACATGACAAGTCATCAAGAAAAGTTGAATCCAAAGTTGGTCTGGTCCATCTATTCTGCTCATTGATTTTTTTCCTCATTTTTTCTCCATTAGTATCCATTAGTTATCAATATTCAAAATTCCAGGTTTTGATCTTCTCAATTGGCTTCTTCCATTTCAGTCCTCTGAAAGTTTTGGAAAAGACTTGGTGTCGTTTCTGGCAGGGGCCGGCGAAACAGAGCAGGAGCAGTTATTATCAGTTCTGCATCTACCACAATGCTGAGTGTGGTGTGCTGTTTGGACGCATTTTGTGGGTCTGTTGATATTTTTTTTTGTCCGAAAGTTGCACTATGAGCCTTTTGGAAGGGTTGGAGATCTCAGATTGTGTTGGATTTCTGCAGGCTATGACCTGGGCATTTGTCCATCGTGGAAGGTTTTGTCCAGCTCAGTTAACCTGAGATCTCGTTCTGGTCTGAAGAGTGGAATAGGCACATGACTTGCGGCGAGAGTCAATGCAATGAAGACCAGCACAGATGGCATTCACAAAAAATAACGAATGTATGTACAGACTGTATAGATATCGATCACATCACCAGATTTCGGTCCAATTTTGCCATGTGACAGTTGACGACGAGCTGATCTCCGACCTCTTGCAGCAATCCATGGGCCTTCTTGCGGAATGGCGAGAGCCTCTGTGGCGAGCGTGCATTCGCCTCTCAGCTCATACCAATCATATCAATCATACCAATCATAAACAAAATCAAAGCCCAAGGCGAAACAACAGAAACAGATTCAAACCTGGCTCAAACGATGCTCACAATGCTGACATAGGCGAACATTTGCATGCTTTTTCAATTGTTTTCTTGAGGGCAAACTTGTGGCCTTAACTTTTCTTGACGCAGCACACTGTACAGATTGGTGACAGCGCTCCTCATTCTTGGAAAGCCTTTCTTGTAGACAGGAAGGCGAAGGAATTTAAATCAATCTTTGAGAAGGCAGCGCTCAACAAGTGACAGGAATACAGACTAGATTTGGTGGGCACAAACAGAGTGTAAATGTGCCATGATTTTTCATGTTTTATTTGTCCTTTGTTTGATTTGCCCTTGTGGAACAGGTGATGAACATGCTGTGCTTATGTCATCTTATGTCGCCAGGTGAGGACCCGCAGCTGAAAGGAGTGATTTCTTTGTCTTCCTGGAAGCGGATTTGCAAGAACACCACCAAGCTTGCACTCGATTGGATCCTTTTGGCTCGCTTGGTGGGCGGTGCCAGTATCAACAATCTTCGATACATGGAAACCTTAAATCGATTTGGTTTCAAGATCGCCTCGCAGGCTGGCAACACATTGGAGACATGTTGCATCATGTTGCACAGAGGCTGTTTGCTGTCAGCATCTGTCAGCTTATCGTGTTGAAGGCTCAGTAGAGGGTTTTTGAGGTCGTGGAGAGCAAAATGGCCAGCTGTGTTTTGGCTTCTATCTACTTCCAGATCATGCAAGCTGATGAGTCATTACAGCAGCTGGTGGGCAAACTTTGCCAGGCAATTCGCAGCAAGATGTGTGTTCCGTTGGATTGGATGCTTCACCCAAGGAACAGAGATGTAGCAAGGTTGAAGCAAAGGATTGAATACTCAAATACTCTCTCTCATTTATCTCATTTATTTATGGGTGTCTTGTTGGCGTTTTTCATGTGTTTATTTCTCAGGGGACATTTGGTTAGAAAAAATACAAAGATTGGATGCCGTGCACGTACCAGTTTCAACACGGTGTTGTTTTACTGCTCTACTTCGTGAGAACTGCTGGGTTGATAGTCAGCTTGTTATCCAGATGGTCTTTGGGTAATCTTTGGGAGCTTTTTAGCTCAAAACTAGTGCCCCCCCCACAACAAAAGCATATGTTTTGGCCTGTTTTGCTGCTGGATAGTACAGTAAGTCTGTAAAGAATGTCCACCTCGACAGGAGCTGTTGCACTTTTTACGAAAGCTAGCTTGTGCTAGCTGAAGTTGCTCTTGCTTTAACAAGGAATAGGCAGGCACCAGGACCGTTGCAAATCCTGAAACTTTCCAGTTAGAACCCCCCTCCCCTCCCCGGGTTCAATCCCCGCCCGGTCCCCCTGGGCCATTGGTTTCCTGCAGGTATAGGGTCGTCCTCTTCAGTATTTCATCTTCAAAACGTCATGTTCAGAACCAAATGATCATCATTATCTTCCTCTATCTTCCTCTTCTTCCTCCTCTTCCTCCTCCTCCTCGCCATCATCGCCATCATCATCGCCATCATCATCGCCATCATCATCGCCATCATCATCGCCATCATCATCGCCATCATCATCGCCATCATCATCGTCATCATCATGGCCATCATCACCGACATCATCATGGCCATCATCATCATGGCCATCATCATCATGGCCATCATCATCATCATGGCCATCATCATCCATCATGGCATCATCATCATCATCATCATCATCATCATCATCATCATCATCATCATCATCATCATCATCATGGCCATCATCATCATCATGGCCATCATCATCATCATGGCCATCATCATCATCATGGCCATCATCATCATCATCATCATCATGGCCATCATCATCATCATGGCCATCATCATCATCATGGCCATCATCATCATCATGGCCATCATCATCATCATCATGGCCATCATCATCATCATCATGGCCATCATCATCATGGCCATCATCATCATGGCCATCATCATCATGGCCATCATCATCATGGCATCATCATCATCATCATCATCATCATCATCATCATCATCATCATCATCTCATCATCATCATCATCATCATCATCATCACCATCCTTGTCATCGTCATCGTCATCATCATCAGCATCACCATCATCATCATCATCACCATCATCATCATCACCATCATCATCACCATCACCATCATCATACATATGTTGCACTGCCTTGAACATCTTGCGTGCGCCTAGTGCAGATTTGGGTTTCCATTCGGGGGGCGTTGTTTTGGATCTTGTCTTTCTTTTTTGCAAAAACCTGACGAGAGACGATTGCTGCATTGGGGGGTTCTCGCTTGCTGGACCCAATAGATAGCTTTCGTACCCCCATCCTGGCCTCAAGTTGGTTTGCAGGCTGGCCGGAGAGCAGCTCCTCCCCAAGAGCTGTTGGATGGCCTGGGCCTCTGTGACCGGTTGACTGAACAGATCAACCAGATCAGCCAGATCAACCAACTGAAACGCCTTTATGCTGCATTGGATCTTGTATCAACAAGTATCAACAGTGGCTTGAAAATGTGAAGCTTAGGCTTCGATGAGATTCTCCAAAGAAACCATGTGTCAGGCCAGTGACTCAGAAGAAGAAGAAGAAGAAGAAGAAGCACAAGAGAGATGTAAGGCCAGTAAGGCTGAATGTAAAGCACCGGACTTGGAAGATTGCCTGCCAAGGCTGTAGGGAACAGCATTCTGCTCAAGGGATCCAGTCCAATGTTGATTTTTATTCCCATTGAGCTGTAATGCCTCAACGTTGTTTGAAAAATTATTTAATGTACATATCATATATCTTTGTGATCTACACGATCTTCATTCCCCAAACAGTGTGTCCACACTGAGGGGTTCTTACGGAAGGGGTCAAGCCGGGGTTTGTTCAGGGTTCGCGTTGCGGGTTGATCGTTTTGTTGGCGCCGGTTCGCGCAAAAGTCTTTGTGAGATGTGCATGCGTAAAATGTGCATACCACTCGGATCATTTTTGAAGGTCTATCTTTCCGTCGCGGCGTGTCCGTTTTTGGAGCTATGCGGCATATGCACGTTTGTCGTGGCAGGTGCAAGACTTCCGACCATCCGCGTGGCACGCGTGGTATTTTGCGCACGTTGCTAAAACGTTGGCAGGCTTGGGTCAAAACCAGAGGTGATTTCGGAGGTCATGTTTCATGGCAGGCGAAATGTTTGGTGAACTTGGACGACGCTTCAAAAGGCCCGAAAGTCTTGTTTTGTGAAGCTGCCGTTAGTTTTGATCTGGTACATGGGGATCAACTTGCATGGCAGGGGCAGTACTTCGGATGCATCGGGCTCATTTTTCTTGGCAGGTGCAGGATTTTGTAGACCTCAGCCAAAAGTTTTTACAACCCAGGGATAAAACTTTGACTTGTCATGGTTAATTTTCATGTCTCGCGATGCGCGCAGTACTTGGTGAAATCGTACCATGCGTTGGTGCGACCCTCTCGTCACTTTGTGCGTGTCACATATTTTGATATCGCTCGGGCAACCCTCTCGTCACTTTGTGCGCCTTGGGCCTGCTCTCGTTGCGGCGTGGTGCTCATAGCTGATTCTCATAGATCTTGGCAGAAAGATCTTTTAGGAGTTCTCTGGAAGGCCCTTTTATGATGATCTTGCAAGAGTTTCATAGTGCCATTCTTCGAGGTCCTTATCTGAAGATCTTGACACTTATGAGGACATCTTGTGAAGATCCTGGCGAAATCCTGTAAGAGTTTAAGAGGCTGTTGCATGACGTTGTGGAGGTCGGTGCAACCTCGTGGAGTTGTGGAGATCCTGGGGAAATCCTTTTCGATGTCCTTCCATGAAGATCTTGAAGATGCCATGTATTACTAGAGGTCCTTGCATGAAGATCTGGAAGATGGCCTGTATTGCAGAGGTGCTTGTATGAAAGCTCTTTTGGGATGATCTTCAGAGGTTTTTGTATGAAGATCTTGTACTGTAAGATCCCCATAGATCCCCTAGACGGTCCTTTTTTGCCGATCTTTTGAAATGCTTGTAGAGATCCTGGTATGCGATCCTGGTCATTAGACATAGCACTGCCTGCTTTGACAAAAACAAGTTCCTGCTGCTGCAGTTCCGCCAGTGCTTAACCTGATCTGTTACTGCTTCCATAACCAGTGTTGCTTGCATCTTCTAGATTGGGGGGTCTCTTGCGTGGGCAATGTGGATATTTTCATCGCTGCCTGTCGATGACTGAGGTCCAGAAATGGCGGCCGTACGACGCAGCTTGGAAGCTCATATTGGCAATGCCGGTGCTTCAATTGATATCGCCGAGTTCCTTTCTGCATGGAAATGCGCCGCAGGCGTCCTGGCAGATCCACATCTTGGCCGATCTTGAAATCGGTGAATTGATTGTGAGTCTAGGGTTTGTGCAGACAAGAGTCGCAAATTCGAACATGTTGTGATAGCATGTCAGAGAAGATTAGCATTTCCCGGGTAAGTGTCACAGATGCACATGCACAACTGTGCAACATACTTCAGATTTTTCCGGGTCTAATGTTTAATGTTGCTGCCGCTTTTACATAGTAGCGCGCAGCTCTTGAGTGAGGGGTTTTCAAACGCAAAATTTGGAGTGATTGTTTATTTGTCGCTTTGCGCCTTTGTGAAGACCCAGCCCTGCAGTATGAATGCCTGCCGAGGCGTGCGCGCAAAACTGGAAGGCCGTCAATTCGATCTGGCCTGTCAGGTTTCAAGGTTGCTGGGGGGAAGCAAGCGCCGGTGGCGTCAAAGGTAGCTTGCCTGTTATGCCAAATTGTTGCAGGTCACATGCAGATGTTTTTGGATGTTTTGTCGATTTTGTCGATTTTGTCGCCTGGCATCAGACTGTCAAAATGTGCGTATTTTGTGGACAAGGCTCAGCAGTTTAGGCGCTGCTTCTGCAGACACGCTGCTGCTTAGCCAGCAACTATGTCATGCAGACATATTCAGGGTGTAAAGAGCTTTGTCAAACACGGATTGGAAACATCATGGAACTGTACTCGACAAAGTTTTCCAGCACTGACAGTAGTCATGAAGTGGTTGTATTGTGCTGGAAACTGTGCTGCTCCATGCAATATGGTGTGCATTCTTGAAAGCAGCACAGGGTCTGCAGATATGTTTTTAAAATTTGAATTAAGACAGATCAGTCGGATCTTGGATAGTCTTGCTTGGGAGATCAGGATGGAATTCTTTGACATAGCAGATGTTGACAGAGATGGACTCTTGGCAGCCTTTTTATTTTCGCAGAATGTAATTGTTTCATGTTGTTCTTATAGGTCTTTATTATTTTATCGGATCTATCCAAAGTGTCCGCTTGCATTGACTGCTGGAATATGAGGTTTTGTCTCCATCGAGGAAGGTTTCACTGCTTTGAAGAAGCGGTTGCATCTTGCAACAGGTCAACAGGCGGGACAGAATTATTGTTGTCATCTTGGGAAACAACAGTAGAAGTGGACACTGCAAACCGGAACAGCGAGATTAAGGTGGACCCAGATGTCGAGGAGGACTTGCGCGGTTTGCTGAAGATGGCCGACAGCACGGGGTCAGGCAGATCACTCTGCAGCGCAGAACATGTTAAAGATGCCTTAAGTTTTTAGGTCAAGCCTCAGAAGCTAATCTTGCTGTATTTGAATTAGGAACGTATTTGAGCAAATTAGATAAGCATATTCGGAGTCGACGCAAAGACAGTATGGGAGGCTGAACAGGATTGTTAGTGCGCATTGCATTCTTTATGATTGGACACACTTCAATAGTGTCAGACCTGGCTGTTGACTCTGTTGACTGTGAGGCAAGCTGAACTACTTGGAATTTTTGAGCCTCTTTGACTTCCAAGATCCTCGCTCATTGACTCATCAAGCCATGCTAGACCTTCTTTGTTTTCAAGTGTCCTGCCAGCACGCTCCCAAAGCCAAAACTGGGGACAGAAGCTGTTGCAGCTTTGCGATAGATTAGTGTGGTGATGACAAGGACGCAAGGAGGGCTTACACAGATACATTCTGCTTCATTCTGCTTCATTCTGCTTCATTCTGCCTTCTCTTCTATTATCTTCTATGATTTCTTGATCTTACTGAATCTTACTTTATGAATCTTTATGACACTTTATATACATGATGACTAGCTGTTACTGGCTGCAGCTGGACCAAGTTTTGTTTCACCACGTGCTGGTGACCTTTTAGAGGTTTGGGCGCATCGAAACGCCTTGTCGGGCTTCTTCCGCTACGTGGGCAACAACGGTTTGATCTCAAGAGACCAGATGCGCTGGAGCTTGGAAGCGCTGAATTCCTTGGTGAAGGGCGAACTGCTCCAGGCGCAGGGTGAAGTGTAAAAAAGGTAAGTTATAGCATGTTATAGCTAAGTTATAGGCCATAGGAGATGCCAGGAAGCAGTGCAGAAGCTGCAGGTCAAGCACTGTTGAAACAGTCATAGATGGTGCCATGAGGGTTGCCCTCTCAGCAGGGTTGTTTTTGCCTGTCAAGTTCCTGCGGAGGCTTGAAAGGTCCTGAGATTGTGTGAGTTTGTCTGTGAGTTTGTTGCATTGTAGCACAGGCCAATATTGACAAGATCGTCAATGCGGTGAAATTTCAAGATGACTTCGTGAGTGGGGAAGAACTACTGAGGGCTTTTCAACTAGTGGATGACAACACGTCTAGAAAGTTATCTGTGTGATGCTTGTGATGCTCGCGCTGACACAAAGACCTGTCAGCTGTTTCATGCTGTTTCATTGTTGCATATTTGAAGATGCAGCAGCACTCATGCTGTGCTACTTTTGCTGTTTCCCCCACCATTAGAGAGGACAAGGATCCTTTCATGGACTGGGAGGAAGCAAGCCAGGACAAAATGTCAGAGTGAGACAGTCTGGACTCGCTGCTTTGTTTGGAAAATTGCGATCGCACTGTGTCACAACTGGGATCCAACTGGGATCCAACTGGGATCCAACGTGTTTGTTTTTCTTTTGCCAAAGCTCACATCTGCAATTGGCAACGCTATGGGCTATGCTGCTATGATCTGCTATGCATTGCAGGTCTACGTGCCCTTAGGATGTTTGTGGACGTACATGAGGGCCGGTATCTCCCATTCCTGTGGAATCACCAATGCCAGTGACTTTGCTCCAATGGTTATCGCAGCTCTCACATGCAATGGGAAGTTGAAACTGATGGAATTTCATGCTGTCCCTGCAACTTTACTTGTATTTGACACCCTTTATTATAGGAAGCAATTCTGTCAGGATCTATATTTCTGTCTACTTTTAATTGTACTTTTTCTAGTGTCCCGAGATAGTCAGGGCCTTGACAATTTCTTAGTCTTGCTTGCATGTGGCTTCGCTGGGCAATTGTGTTGCTGTATGTCGTATTTGTTGTGGGAAATGCTCCTGGAGTATGTGATGGGTGCTCCAGTTCAATCTCTTGCTATCCATTCAGTTTCTGACCTCTTTGATTTGTGGCGCCTCCGATGTGATCAGAGAACTTGGAGGTGTCGAGCGTGTGAGCTATTTGCCGAAACGGCTGTTGCACAGATATAAACATGTGCCTGATTGTGCCTGCGTAATACTTAAAACCCAAGCTGTTCCTCAAGGAACTGCCAGCACTATTGCTGTGGGCCGGGCATGGCTGGCATCTAAGGTGAGACAGTTTGTTGGGGTCGACAGAGAGAAGGTCAATGTGATGTCCCTGCTGGATACAGTGGCGGAGCTCAACGCAGCACCTGAACCTTCCATTGCCTTGGAATTGCCATGCCACATCCTTTATCAGCATTCAACTGAATTTGCTCAGGCTTTCTACAACTGACTCTTGGAAAGGCGTGTTGCACTAATGCAATTTGATGCCATTTGATAACATTTGATGCCATTTGATGCTATTTGTTTATTCTTGGATCTCCCCGATGTTTACTGTTGAACGGCGAGGCCCACACTTGTGGAATCACTGATGGTGCAGAGTTGCTGTGCTGGGGAAGTCCTATAGATGAGACGCTTGCTGTGTCTTGGCGAGAGAATTTCTGGATGAATCGTCTTTGGAATTGCCAAGTTGACAGGGCAGAATGGACGAGTACGAAAGCCATGGTAAGGCATGTGTCGAAAACAGTGACTTCAATTCTATTGAAGGAAAGTGGACGTGTGGAAACGGATCTTCCTTCTTCATCTTCTTCCTTTCATAAGCCGTCTATACTTGATGAGCAGTTCAGCGGAAAAGCTGAACACTGTCGCTTGAAACCCTTTGCATGATATGCTATATATTTCTATTTTTCTGATATTGCGATCCTACAAATTTAATTTGTTCTTTGATATGACATTTCCATCAAACTTTTCATGTTTTACATATTCATATCATATTATCTGCCTTGATTGCTCTTGGATGGGTGTTTTTTCTGTTAACATTTGTCTTGCCTGGAACATGCAGTTCTATCCTTCGCTAATGCTTGCAACTTGGTTGTTGTAACATGACATTGATACTGCTTCAATCTCAGCCGTGACTCTGGACTCTGTACTCTCCAAGGTACCACCTGGCCACACATGGAGCCAAGTGGATGCTGGAACCGTTTCTACCTGTGGCGTGAACAGCACCGGAACTATTCTCTGCTGGGGGAAACAAGGTCCCATGGTCCGATGGATTCTGATGGATTCTGATGGCGTGAGACTTTTCTTTTGTGAATTGCCTTGAGATGCCTTGAGGCTTTGCTCGGCTTTGTGCATTTTATGGCAGCTGTTGCAGCTGTTGCATCACCTTCTGCGTCAGTTGTGGTTCCACAGGCTATGACCGAAAAGCAGTGCCCTACTTGGACAATGCGGATGTCACATGGCAGGAGCTGCAGCACTATTCTTTGATAAGCAAACCAAGCTTCATGAGTCTTGATATTTGAGATCACAGCACTGCTATGCAGCCGTCAATTCTTGACACAACATTTGTAACATTATATAATTAGCCAAAAAAGAAGGTTCTATCGGTTGATTTGCACATCTTTGAACATATTGATGAAATTCAGATTCAAGACGCAGGCTATGCAAGAGGTATTTGAGCGAAATCGTTCACTGGCCATGTTATCCATTTGTTTTGAGCCTCACTCCTTGCCCCTTTGTCCACTAGTCTCCTGCGGGGCTTCGGTGCTTGTAGGAAGTTGCCTGTGGTGACCGGCACTGCTGTGGCCTTTTGGAGCAAAGTGCCGTGCAAGCTTTGAACCGACGTCAAGAGGACAGCTTTGTGGCCAGAGCCGCCAGAGCCGCCAGAGCTTTCATTGCTGCTGGTTCCAAAATGTCACAGGACAACGTGATTTGCTGGGGCGATGACTCCAACGCGCAGCTTCAAGTTCCTGGAAAGGAGACATTCAAGCTGCTTCAAGCTTTGCAAGTTGTAAAGATCAGCACTTCAGCTCAAGACTCTTGACATTCTCGGGGACCTCACTCTTCCTCACTCTTGCATAGGGTGCATCCTGCCTGAAGGTACTTGAACAGGGCTAAACAGGCCGAACTCTATCTAGGAAAATCGTAGTGACAGCCGGTGAGTCTCCCGCATGATCTCTGTGACAAGCAGCTTTACAGCCTAATGAAACCATGGAAACATTTGCCATATTTTGCCATGAATGCAAAAGAACCGTATGAAATGGCTTACGGGGCAAAGGTCATCAGGCGACTGCGAGAGCGGCTGAGAAGGGCGGCTGCGAGCAAACCTCGGCAGAAACACCACATGGGAAAGAAACACCTTTATGCGCACAGAAAACTCTGCTCACTTCCTGTGAACGCTGCGGAGCGACATGAGTGTCCGCTGTGGCTAGCTGTCTTGAGTTGACATATGCTGACGGTCGAACTTTTGGGCATGCTCCAGACACTGCATCCAGTTTCTGAACAGCTATGCCCAAAATTGAGTCCCAACAAAAGCTCATGTTGCCTTTCAACAGAGCTGTCAAACCCTACTGCAGTATGCCTGAAACAAGGCGCAGATTGTTCACCCTTTGTTGGATTCTGGTTCTTAGTCTGCTGCCAGATTTGCAGTTGCTCTTGGATTGTCATGTGTTAAGCATCGCAAATGGCAAGGCAGGAGACTTGAAAGGTTCAAACAAGAAACACAAGTAAAGACAGCAACTTGAGTGCAGGTCTTCTGAGCCATTCTCCTGAGCTGGAGAACTCTACTTTTGCTATCTGTGCTGCGGTGTTCAACGTTCCTAGTCGAATCACTTTGAATCTACAAAAAGTCCTATGTGGCTTCTTATTTTCTTTCTTCTTGAAGCTTTCAGGAACCCACTATTTTGAAGTTCGGCAAATCCGCGAGCACGTTTTTGCGACCAGATATTCTGAAAGCTCAACACCAGACTTTAGGAAAACATTCTAGGCAGTAAGCCTTGAAAATACGAATGCCTTGAACCGATTAAAAGGGGCACTTCGGCAAGTACGGAAAACACTCACAAAAACAGAAGCCAGCGAGGGCTTCTAGGAACACACAAATGATGCAATTTTCTGTCAATTGCTTCAGGCAAATATGAGACATGAAAAAACAATTAAAAAACATGAGCAAGACAATTCTGTAGACTTTTCTGTCGATTTGTCACTGCCTTGAAGGAGCAGGGGCGCACCGGCACCCAGGACAGGCCAAATTTCTGACTGGCATGAACATATGAGCGGCCATCAACACATTTCACATATAATTTAACGAACATTTTAAAAAATATTGCATTTCTGGTGGGTTGCCTTTGCTGCGGTTGATGAAACTCCCTGTTCAACAGTACCTCTGAAAGCAAGAACAGTTGGAACAACCTGTTCAACAGTTCTATAGATCCATTGTGCAACTTTGCAGGAGATCTTCACCTCGATTTCAGCGGGCAACTACCACACATGTGGCCTCACATTAGGGATGGATGTTTGGTGCTGGGGCCGTGTAGACCAGTATGGTGCGGAACCAAGTTCTTTCATGCCAGTGACTCATATTCTTTCGCATTCTTTGGTGAAGGTTTTGCGCTTGGTGTTTGCAGGAGTGCTGGATTTGTGCCGTCTGTCCAGTGAGGCCTGAACTTCCAAACACCTGGAAATGCAACGATATTAAGCTCTGGTGGCATCCATGCCTGCGTGCTCGACACGAACAAGAAGGCGAGACCTATACGTGGAGCGGTTGTCAAGAAGTCATCCAGCTACTTCCAACTAAGAAGAGGGGTTGCTAGGAGTTCTCAGCTGCTTCATCAACGACTTGATTTTGGTTTGTGCGCGTACTGTAATTTCACTCCCTCTCTCTCTCTCTCGTGTCTTGTCGTCCGTAAGTTCTTTTCCATGGAGCATATGGAGCTTAGTAGAAGGCCATCTCAGACGAATAGTCCCAGGTTGTGTTGGAGTGGTTGGTCTCACGATTTTTCGCTCGTGTCAGTTGCTCTTTCTGAGCTCTGAGACTTGCATTTTGATGTGCGCGGTGGATTGTTACAAGCACACTCAGAGCAACCCTGACACTGCTGCGTCTGCTGCTACTGTTGCTGCTACCACTACCACTGTACGTACCACTACTACGACTAGCATTACGCAACATTACCAAAAAAATCAATGAATCAATTGTCAGTGTCCTTCTGTGCTGCATAAATTAATTTGCAACTCAGAAACGTTGGAGATCACACTGCCACGTTCAATTTGCTTTTTGAAGCTCCCTTCCAGGTTTTGGGGAGAGAGTCTCGACACCGTTTTGAGAACGTGACAGCTTGATGGAGAACTGATGCCCGTCTGCCCTCTGAGGCAAAATGCTGGGGAGGCAATACAGTAGGTCAGGCTACTGTACCTGTGGATGCGGCCACATATCCGCTGCTGCCTCAAAGACCTGTACTACGCTGACGTTCAAAAGATGCTTCCTAAATCATCTAAAGCCACTGTAAAGGTATCCGAACATCTGAAATTTACACAAATAGTCCGCTGTGCAAAGGCCGTCAATCATGGAATTTGCCAACGACCCTTTTGACATCATGGAAGAGGACTTGAGGGTCTCTGTGCTTTGTTGAAGGAGCAGAAGGAGCATCTTGCAGCATGACGATTTTTCCAGGACTCATCGGTACGGCTCACGCCGTACATTGCGGGCTACACCGAGCCCAAGAGGACCTACCAACACATCATGATGGTGCAGTCCTCAGCAACCACCTGTAACAAGCTGCTGCTTCGACAGGGGGCCCCTGAGCACTGAGATTTTTAGGCCATCCTCTTTCCAGAATTTGCCTTGACAGATTCGCCATTGTGAGAAGCCCAGAGTTGAGAAGCGCCAATGCACCGATTCCAAATCATGACGACTCTTGACGACTCTAATGACAGCAGCTTATCGCCTCCAAATTCAGGCTGACCTTTGAGCACATCGATGGGACAGAGGCGCATTTCAACTGCTTGGGCTCTGCTTTTCTGTCTGCATTCTTGGAGTCAAGTGAAAATAGCTTCCTTGCTGAGGATCCATATTCACCACACATCATCAAGTTTCCCGAGTCGTGGAATGCGCCGACAATAAACCAACTGCAAGTCTCTGCATTGGACTTGACGCTTTGGTATGATATCCGACTTGGAGCGTCACGTTTGAGACTCAGTGTTGTTGCATTTGCGTTCGCAGATCTCCACTATTCTCCACTCCTAAAGCTGCAGATTCTGTGATTATGTATCTGTACCATGATCTCGATGTTTGCATGCGCATAAGCAAGTTTGCCAACGTGAGTTGAGTGTGACGGTGTTCCTCATGCTGCGTGCGTCTAAGCTGCCATCCGGAACATCACCTCCACCTGGGTCAACGGCACCACGGAACACCGGCTGGTGGATGGCGGTGCTTATTCTGTGCGGCTTCAGTACCAGGCCTTTTCCAACAAAGCTGCAACGCCTGATATTCCATGATATTCCCACCTTGCATATCCTTGCATATCCTTGCATTCGATGGGTCTCCAACTCAGCTTGCCAACAGGACACCTTCAATCACCCTGTTGCAACACATTGGATTCAGAGATACGAGGTGCTAGGACCTTAGAACGCTTAGAAGGAGCAAATTTCGACCCCCTTCGCATCGTCACTGCATCACCGTGCATCACCTGTCCCCGGCAATCGCTCTGAGGACATACGATTTAGAGACTCTGGCTCCAACACTTTGGTCCCCACCGCTGATCCCTTGGTTTGACATGGTGCGGCGGTACAACGCAATCATTTCGAATTGAGATTCCCCATGTTGCACTGTGACTGACTTGCATTAAGGTCAGGTGAGGTGAAGCAAGGAATCACCGTTGGATACTACCTGGAAGAGGCCAGCGGGATACCTGGACTTAGCAAAGCTGGAACAGCAGAATGCCGGAATGCCCCGGGTTGGATTTTTGATCACTGCTGTCTAGCTTCGCTTTTGTTCTGTGAGCTTCCATTTGTGGTCCTTCTGAGCTTTTATTGCATTGCATGTTGCAAGAGTGGCTTCAAAGCCGCGAAGCAGGTTGACAGAATCTATCTATCTATTTGTCTGTCTGTCTATCTATCTATCTATCCATCCATCCATCCATCTATCCATCCATCCATCCATCCATACATATATGATCGAATCTATACATCATCTATACATTATCTATCTATAATATTCTATAATAGTTTATATATATGATCATATCACATATGTATATATCACATATAATATATATATATAATTATACATATTCTTCAGAATTTGACTGTTTCTGCAGCGCCTTGTAGATTCGGCGGAGGACATGAATCCCGACGATGTGTGGATCATCATGACGTTCACTGGACCATCCTCGGGCCAACAAGCCCAGGACTGCCAGGGTCACCATGAAATCACCATGAAATCCTGAACCCAAAACATACCAAAGCAAGGTCTAGAAGCTTTGAACAAAGCAAGGACAGCACTGAACTTGTCACGTTTTCATATGTTTTTACGTGCAGGACACCAACTCACCTTACCAGATTCAGCTGGAAAAGGCCAGGGTTGTTCCCTTCCCTTCCTTCTAATCGTGCTGTAGCCACCACCACTTGGCACTGTTTGTGTCTCTTGATGTTACGATTGCACCAACTTTTGATCTCCCAGGCTGTGACCTACAAAGGCAACCACTCCTTTCAGCTTGTCCTTGGAAACCTCTATGAGTTGTTGGATGGCAGGCGGTTGGTGGAGCTTTCCACATGCTGTGCAAATGCTGAACAGGAAGAAGAAAGGAAGAAAATCGAAGCAAGTTTGAATGGTCAGCGAGAAGTTTGAGGCCTTCGCCGTACGTTCGTCAAGTCTTGACGGCCAGTTAGCGCCTCAGAAAAACTGAGAAGTCAGAGCAAAGTTGGACTTCCTGACAGATGCCAGTGCTGCCAGTGCTGCCGGTGCTGCCAGTGCTGCCAGTGCTGAGAGTAGGGTGCAGTGATTTCTTTCAGAGCTCTGACTCAGATGGAGTGGGCGGCAATGGAACGAGCCTGGTCAGTGGAGGACATCAGAATTGGGGCGTGTGAAACAGGAAGGGCCGATTTTTTTCCTTTAAGAGACTTAAGAGAACAATATCATGCATATCATGGGTGACAAAGAGCAAAGGTTGCTAAAGCTGTTGCGAAACTTTGCTACATCACGATGATACATTCCTTTCATGCACACAAAATTCTTTGGGCATGGTCTCTTCTGTGCGAAGAATACATGATTACCTAATTCAACTCTACTTACAGTTTATGCCAATCATTTCAGTCACAACAGCGGGAGCAGCTGACTTCTGCCTCACGGAGGATAAAGCATCATATGAGAATCATATGCTAATTGATGAATCCATGGTACACCCCACTAGCGAGGAAACTATGACATGGTCCTTCGGGTGAGCGACACCTTCTTCAACGCTGCAAAATCAGTTCAGGCCGGGTGGCCAGGTGGCCAGACTTTTCTGGACTTTCCAAAAACATATGGCTATGGATCTATACCTATAAAAATACAATTTTTAGGGGGATGAACATCCATAAATCCCAGCTATTTTGATGTGAACTACAGGGGTACTATTGGTTTTGACATATCTATACATATCTTTTAAATTCCTTTATCATCTGATGTTTTTTGGGCCTCGTTGTATCTGAGGTCTCTGGCCTTGACTTCATATGGGACATAGCAACAGAGACTGTGCAGCGATTGCAGCCAGTCCAAGTGAAGCTTGGCTAAACACTGAAGTTTCAAGTATAAAGAGACAGACGGTCAAAACAAAAACATTTGCATGAAGCCTGCACTTCGCAATTCATCCGGTTTGAAGTCAGGGTGAATGATCCTATCGTCATTGAGTATACCCTCCCCGAGCCTGTCTTGAGTGGCTCTCTTCGTGCGAAGCTTGGAACAGGAATTGCACAAGTATCATGTAAAAACGTGGCTTGCAGTTGAAGAATGTGGAGCTCAGAGCCTTGCATTCCAAGTTTTGCCTTTCAGACTGTCTAGGTTGAAATCCATCCTTCTCTTTCCCACATGCTTTCTGCATTTGTCATGCTTGAAGCTGACCGTGTTGTTCTCGCGCTCCAAGGCTTCGTTCTGACCTGGATACAGAACACAAACGAAAGCACAGCACAGGCAGATTGGCCCAGAGACCAGAACAGATTATTTGGCTGGGCCGTAAGTCTTTGTAAGTCTTCGGCACTGTCTTCATCTTGCCGTCTTCAAATGTCATTCAGCTCCTTACTTGAGGCAGACGTGCAAAGTCCACATACTTGGTGGGTAAGCGCGTCCAAGGACACTTCGGGTTGGGAAGACGATAGTCTTGGACTGTTGCTTTGACTATCTCTGACTCTTTGCATTTTTTTGCGCTGTCCCGTTCTGAACTGGGCTGAACAGTTTTGTCATCAACTGCACCTCTTCAGGAGAGAGATGTGACGGTTGGTGCTACATCCAACATTTTGAGGCTTGGGAAAGGGAGTGAACACTCTTTTGACTCTTTTGGCAAGCTCTAGCATACTCGTACTGGTAGCAAAGCTGTCTGACACTTCTGTGTTCCAACACGATGTCGCCGAAACTTGGGACATCTTCGGACATTCAGGGCATTCAAGTGTCAAATCAGAAAGGAACAGGTGCGACAGGTGCGAATCTTGGAGCTCACTGTGTCATGCTTCGCTGCAGGCTGAGTGCGTCGAACCTCTTCCGGGATCCAGACAATGAGGACCGGTAGTGACCGGTAGTGACCGGTAGTGACCGGTAGTGACCGGTAGTGACCGGTAGTGACCGGTAGTCAAGCTGCGCTGCAAAAGCTTTGCACAGTCTCCGCATTGATGTGCCAGGCATTGCCTCATCCAGACATCACAAAGTTTGAATCAAGAGGTGCATCAATGAGAATCAGAAATTGAACAAATTGCATATCTTTGCCTAGTCTTTGCCTCCAAGCTGTCCTAGCTTTCTGTGGCATTCTGGGCAGGTACGCCGGTCTATTCCACCTTGCAGCCCTTCTCTGAGTATGTGCTCACCATCTCCTACCAGGTGGATCAGTCACTTTTACCGCATTTTACCGCAGTAGTTGTGCGTTTTGTGACGAGTGTTGTGACTAGTTCTCCTAACGAAGGTTTTTTCACTTTGAAGCGGACACGGGGCGCGTAGGACATCTTTGGAAACCCTCGGAGCACTTTGAATGTCACGCTGCCGACCAATTTCACTCCGCCTGGTGCACCAAGTGCTCCCACAATGCGTTCAAGGACCCACATGCCGAGCCAGACGCAGACATTTTCAGACCCAACTGTTCAAGACTCTTCCATGGAACAAACCAATTATATATTTCCAAACCACGACAGGTGGCCGTAACGTTGACATAGAATATACATGAATATACATAGAATGATGCCGCAGGACCACAACTTCCTTGGAAATTGGATGGACGCGTGGAGAGACTGGTGGTCTTCGCGGCTTGAAGCAAATTTTCATGGCTTGGCTGTCATGTTCCATGCTCGTGTCCAGGGAACACTCACAGGAGGGCATTGAAATGAAGTTCTAAATTCTAAATATTCTAAATATTCTAAATGATTCGAATGATTCGAAATGTGAAACTGCGAAGCAGCGCTCTCAGCTTGACTCAGCTTGACTCAGCTTGACTAAGCTTGACCTAGGCATCATAAAATACGACCTTCAGCTTTTTGCAGCTCCTGACCCACCTCTTTGGTGGAACGGTCCAGCACTTGAGCACTGAAGGCTTGATGCAGGATGAATATAGATGAATCGAATGCTGAATCACTGATGAACACCCAAGGATGAGTTATCGGCTCCTCTCATTCATCTTCATTTATCTTCATTCATCATCAATTATTGATATTTTTGGCTATAGGTTCATTCTGTCATTCTCTAGACTCAGTCGGACTCGATTTCTGTGCCTTTCCCGGCCCTAACTCTTTGGATCTTTTTGGATTCCACCTGGTTCTTCATGACCGCAGCTGTTTCAGATCAAATCCGCCTTAAGGAAGGCTTTTCCAAGAGGTCTCTGCCCAGCTTAAGCCTGTGACAGAGATGCTTTCAACACAGCCAGTGGCTTCTCGACTCTGGATCGGAACAGCCAGACAAAGACCAGGACTAGGAGGAATTTGAGGACAAACCGACGACCTAATGCGCCTGCAAAATGAATAAATTGTGTAGACTGGAAGTCCCCCAGACAGCAAAGCACATTGCCACGCCTCCCGACCCATTCAGTTTGATTTTCGCCAAGTCTGACTTTGAGTATTCTAGTTTGTTGGTGAACACGTGCTCCTGTTTTCTCCCCGAAGAGTCACAACAACAGGGGTTAATTCAGACTCCAGTACCACCCAGATTTCAGCACTCCAAGCAGTTTCCTGGTTCCTTGTGCTACTGGTCCTACTGGTACTAGCAATAGCTCACTGGAACTGATAAGTGGAAGTTTTTCATTGATGCACAGGTGGTTGCCATGCTAGAAGCGTGTGATCTGACTCTGATTTTGTTAGTTCTTGATGAATTAAAATATTCCAAGATAGTCTAAAATAAGGGATGGACATCAATTCGCTAACGGAATCTGATAATCGTTGAACAGAATCCTACAAAGATTTCCATGTCTCCTAAAAGTTGTGGAAGTCAGTGGCGCATGTGATAGGCCAAGCCTGAAAGCTTGGGATATCTTGAGATTTACCCTTCGTGCACCAAGGTAGCTTCTGTCCCTTCGCCTGCAGTCTCAGATCCTTGCCTGCAGAATTCCAATGGGCTTTGCACTGATCCTCCCCAATCAGAATGTCATTTTCCTCAGGGTTGTCCATGTTGTCCCGCATTCCAGCAGATTTGAAGAAAGATGATCTGAATCATCGGCAGTGAATTCTTTCTGCTGCAGGCTGATATTTGGTCCACTTCACCATTGCCTTTGACACCGCCAGTCTGCGTGGCAGCAATACAATGATACAATGAAACTGTTTTTATCACGAAAGGTAGCGTCAGCCATTGTGGGCCCTCCACTGTGACTCGTAGTCATGTTTTGGGATTTAGAAGGAAATCTTCACGGGGGGGGGGGCATTCGATTCCCCCTGGGACGTGTCCAGTGTCAAACAGCGACGAAATCCGCAAGTGGCGCAAAGTGTAATGCAGCCACTGGATCTGGCCGCCTGCGCGCATCAAATAGAGTACATTGACCCTCTCAACAAGTATTGAATTTATTGTCACTGCCCTCGAAACATCCTCCTCCTCCTCCTCATCATCGTCATCATCGTCGTCATCATCATCATCATCATCAACAGACTCCCCGGTACACTGTGGTTGATTTGAATCATACCCATTTTGGATGCCAAAAAGTATCCTCACCATGTTGCTGCTGGCAGTCACCCTGGTAATCATATGCCAAGACCATCATGCAAGCAAACCTCATTTTACCATACCCAACAAATAGACCATCTCATTTTGGAATTCTTCATGCTGCAGAGCCATGTGGCATTGAATTCACTTCTTCCATTCCTGTTGTTTTCCCCTTCTACCTTTCGTCCACCCCTTCTTGAGTTTCTCTCAGTTCCTTTCACTTTTTTCCATTCGGGTCAAGGAGCTGCTCATTTTTTTGGGGGCTCTCACGAATTTGGAAAGAATGCTGGTGAAGAGCCCCGGCAAAAACAGACATGCAACCAAAAATATCGGAACTATATATATATATACATGTGTCTATGCGTATATAACATATATAATTGTCTAATATCATTTTTGTGTCACAGTTGCGTCCTCCCAGGGAAGAGCAGAGCGTCGACCCTGTGCTCCGGCGCCTGCCAAGCCGCCGCCAGAGATTGCTGGGTCTGAACCGCCTGTGGCACCACCTGCTTGGGAGCCAAACAAAGGCCTGGGGCCGGAGACAAAGTTGGAACATGTTGAAACATCAGACGGATATCTTCAGATGGGTTGGAGATGGTTGAAGCTTCTCCTGTTCTCCACAAACATATCCACAGAATATACACAATCCACACCGCGTAATTCAGAGATCTGTGCGGATTTCAGAAGTGACTCGATGCAGGTCCGCTTGAGGCGGCAAACCCGGCACCTCAGCGCCCACCAGGCCCCCGCTTTGTGGCAGGGATTTCAAGGATACGAATGGCTGGTATAAGCTGACAGATATCGCCACATATCCACATGCTCTCAGTGCTCTCAGAGTTTCATTGCATGGGTCTTGATGTCGGATTTGTCTTGAAAGGCATTCTGCTTCCAATGACAGATGAAGAGAAGCAACGCAACTCGGCCCCGGAATGGCCTTCAAGATTGGACACAGGGCTCTTGAGATTTAAGGCCTGTTCCATCATGGCTTAGATGGCTTGAACAGCCACAAATGGTGTCAGATACAAATTGCCTGGCATTGTGCAGCTTTTGTCGTGTTTGCAAATCCAAATTTAAGGATTGCTTGATTAAGCGATTCGGGCTTGAAAGCTGTTCTGTACTTGAGGGGAATGAGTTTGGTGGTGCAGAAGCTGCGTATGGCGCGTGTGACCGCCGATTTGGGCGAGGGATTTGTTGAACAGTCTTCATGCTTCATGCCGCTTAAATTCCATCCCTCAAGGTAAAGCCGTGGTGGAAAAAGCAAAAGCACAGGGCATTCCGCTGAAGGTGTGAGGGTTTTTCAGCCTGTCCACACGTTCTATGTGTGACACTCTCGACATCGTGTGGTGGAATCGGTGGACAAATACTAAACCAGAATGTCTTGGCACTTGGCACTTGGAAATGCCGCAATTCCTGGGAACTTGGCAAATTTTTCTGCAGGTGAGGCTGCCCGATGCTGCGCTTGGTGTGGTTCGGCCTTTACTTCCTGGCTGCCCAGCAAAGAAGCGCTTACCTTGGCCAGAACTTATGGAGGACAGTCAGTTGAAGATGCGAGGGATTCACATCTGTTCTGCTGAAGCCTTTTTGAGTGCTTCAAGGATTCAAAGACAGTGAAAGATAGTAAAGGATAATGTGGGAGCTTGGTAACTGACATTTGCACAAGAACCTACTTTGGTGCATTCACAATCATTTGCGCAATCGGTTGGGTGGAGGAAATGTCAAAGTGTCCCTCGGAATACTCAACAGGCCTGGGACTTGCAAATTTGGTGACGAGTCAAAATCAGCTGCAGATGAAAGGTAGAACACCAGAACATTGGAATGTATCTTAGTCACAGAGCAAAGAGATATAGAACATTCTGCAAAAACGTTACGAGATGCAATTCCCTGCATTTCTAGCGCCTTGAAGGCTCGACAATCTGCCCCAGCGACCAGCTCGAGGTTGAGGCCTTGCACAGACAGGTTTTTGAACAGTGAACAGTGGCCCATCGCTATCCTTTCTTGTCAGCTTTTCCTATTCTCATTTTCTGTTTGAAAGCATTGCTTGAACAAGACGTATTAAGGTCCGTGTGGCTGGGTTGTCCTTGTTCTCTGGACTGCACACCTACAAAGACAAAAATCGATGACAGATTAGATCCACTTGATGCCCACAGAACAACATTATTGTATATTATTGTGAGATGTATCCGCCACCGTGCTTCTCAGTTATCAGACGTCCTTCTTGCGACTGCCACAGAGCCACCTCAATTGCCATCAAAACTCATGATGACAATGCAGGTGCAGCTGCCCCAAGACAACCACCATCACCACCACCTTCACCATCTTCACCATCCTCGCCAGCAGCATCATCATCATCGTCGTCGTCGTCGTCGTCGTCATCGTCATTATCATTGACTTTATCATTTCTTTATCACCATCGTCTTTATTATCATCCTCATCCTAATCCTCAGCCTCATCATCGCCCTCATACTTATCCTCATCTCCATTCTCTTCTACATAATCATTGCCATCATTTGCCATCGCTATGGCCATCGCCATGATCGTCAACATCACCATGACCTGGTCATCACTATTGTTGTCATAACCATTCATTGATTTTCTTTGTCATGGGCATTTGTAAACTTTGTGACCACAAAAAACTATGGTCATGGAAACAGTTCCATCAGCTATTGTGTTGTGCCCAAAAAGAAAGTTCTGCTCCTTGCACATCTGGTACTAAAGTGATATTTGATATTTGATATGCTCCAAGTGAAGCGGTGGTGTTAAGCTGGGCAAGTTTCTCAAAATATGAACTCCTATAGCCTGATCTGATCTGATCTGCCTGGCTAGTCTTTCAGCAGGGAATTCTGAAACATTTCCGTATTGGAGGCACAGATGGTGCAGATGCCGTTTATCAACAGTGTTCCAGTGGTGGCTGCCCGATGATAGACTGGTCAGCCATGCGGATGGCTCAGACGTGCCCATGTTTTCCCATGTTTTCCCATGTTTTCCAATGTTTGCTGTATCTTGATTCTCAAATGCTGACGCCGGATGTAAACCATCTTCAAGTCTACAGAAACTGTCTGTGATTTCCGCGTAGTTTGACCATGCCTTGCCATGAGTTGCTACATGTCCCTGCATGTTGCTCTCAAGTCCAAGGATTGAAAGATTTGCGAAGAGACGGGTGAAGTTGAGAGACTTGTGAGACGAAGCGAGTTGTTTTCGTGGCCATTGGACGAAAGCTGCAAGGGCCGGAGAGCCAGTGCACTAGTGTATCAATTCATTGCACGCTTTGAAGGCCTGGCAAACGACATTCAAATGACATTGAAACATATTGAAACGAGTTTCGGATGGAACATGGAACAAATTACTACAAATTACTTCAGGAACCCATAAGAAAATTAGGAAACCTGCAGCCTAGCTTGAAGTCTGAACGCCTTTTCGGTTGAATTCCTTTTGCAGATTTTGGTGTTGAGTAACAAAACAACTTTTGTTCATACTCTGTGGCAACAGATGCCCTTGATCAGAGGGATGTCGCATGGCACCAGTCCGGTGAACGCCAACGCGTGGGAATTCATGCTTTGAGGAAGAAACCGATTTACATTATTCGGTGATTTTCCCCAGAGATTCTGTATTGCACAGCCCTTTCAATTTGAGGGGTGATTGCATACGCCGATAGTTAGTTCCTGCTTGTTCCTGTGCTGAAAGATTTTGTGAACGTGCTAAGAGCCAGGGCGATTTTGATCAATTAAACGCTCGCCAACATATTTTAGAGGACCCAATGGCAGACGAGTCCTGATACTCAGGAAACTCTACTAGACTACCATCACTTAAAGGACTTAAAAAATATCTGACACGCATTTACAAAAGTAGAGCCCTGCGATTGCTGCCAAGGTGAGTAGCAGTCAGTCAAGTTTTTCGAATCACCTCTCTTCGTAAAACGCGGAGTCTCTCAAGCAGACAGCAAAAGTCTCGCCAGCTGTGACTTCGAATTGCAGAGCTTGTGGCCATTTGCCCCAGAACTCGTGACAGAAAGGTCAGTATCACTAAGTGTATCCAGTAGATCCACTAGTCACTAGTTGGATGCCGTTGGATATCCATGATAATCCAATAGTCGGAGAAACCATTGCGGATAAGACTCAAAGACCTACAATTTGAGCACTGACTGAACATCCCTTGCCCATTGTGCCTGAGGCACGAACCAAGAGGCTGCGGACTATGCAGCCAACGGGGTTGGGAATGTGTTGCAGGAGGGGGTTGTGGCAAATGTGGCTGCAAGACATGACAGAACAGATGCATTTGAGAGCCGCAAGTGTATCATTTGTTCAGAGATGCTCATAGTGTTTCTAGTTTTTCTAAGCTAATTACTGCTCAAGATATTGGACAACGGCATTGGAACATTTTCGATGTAGACAGGCTTGAAAAGCTTGCAGAAAATGGTCATTGAATCTTCAGCTGGTGCAGGAGCAGGAAGTTGTGGGACAAGAGTCTAACAAGGCCACTTTCAGAAATCTAAACAGCTCACACCACTATGTGGTCCGTCTTCGCGTGCGCTCCCCAGCTTTGGGCAATAAACGCTTGGGGGGCACAAATCCAACCTATCCCAGGCTGAATTTACTTGAAATGATTTCATGGGTCATTGAGCAGGAATGACAGATGCACAGCCGAGGCTTGGAGCAAATCAGGAGTGTCAGATTGGTCTTCTTGGTCGATACTGCGAGTCCTGCAACAGACTCAGCTTGCACTGCTTGGAAAGTCACAAAAAGCATCAAAAAACCAGAACAGAGCATTTTCAGGTCGGCCTGTTCTGATGGGTTACCCCATGATGGAGAGGCTGCGAAGTCTTGCTGAAAAGGGATGTGAAATGCTGTGATTCGGTTTTGATTTCACCGCAGAGTTTGATGCAGGCATGCGATGATGGCAACATGCTCGACGGCGATGGATGCAGTTCGAGCTGCGTTGTGGAGATGGGATGGACTTGCGAGGCTATGGCCTTTTTTTTGATGCGTCAGTGTCGCGGGAAACAAGCCGGGAAGACCTTCCGACTAGGCACAGCCAGCCGGACTTTATGCAGACGGCTGGGGCCGTGGTAGGTCCAGGCGAGGGCTTTTTGAGGGCATGGGATGGCATGGGATCTTTTTCCGCACCAAAAAAGAACTTGAAACGTGAGTGAGTGAATCCAGGTGCGTTGCAGCTGGCATGGACGGTCTTCGTGTTGGGAGCGAGGAGTGTGACGACTGTAACCTGCAGGCCCCGCAGTCAAATGGTTCTTCAGAAATTGATGATATTTACAGCAATGATAATAATGATATATAATCTTCCAGGTGAGACAGGACAATAAATTCAAGTTCAGCCATGGTTAGTCTTAGTTTATTCCGTTCTATTCCTTCTCCAGCCGAATCTTTCATTCTTAAATTATCTTGAACACATTGATACTCCTGAACTGTAAATCTTTTGGACAAAGGGCTTGACTGGGCTTGACCTCTTAGCTTTAGCAAGAGCACAACTCTGCTTGTTGAATTGCTGCAGCTTGGGCTTCAAAAGAAACATACCTAAGCCGTCATGCCGTGATAGCAGCTTTGTCCTTTTGGGGAAGTTGTACAAGACCTGTTTTTGGCATTCTTTGATCTGTCTAAGAAAGTGAAAGCAAGGCAAGAAACATGTACCACAACTTTGATCGCAAGTTTTCTTCATCATACTTCTTGACTGGTTATAGTCTGGGTGTACTTGCATGGTTGCAGCTCTTGGAATTCTTACGTGCGCAATGATTAAGACCAAGCTCGTGGACAAGCTTTTCGACGGGCCAATTGACATCATAGGAGACATCCATGGCGAATCTTGGCACACTTTTTTTAAATACTTTTATTTGAAATAAATTCATTTAATTTCGATTCTGGCGACCACAGTAAGTTGAAATACTGAGCAGATGGGCACAATGTTGATGTTGGGTCAGCATGTCATATTTTCTACTGCCATTCTCCTAACCGGTAAAATATTTATAGTCGATGTGAAGAAGACAACATATCATCATCATGTTCTACCGAAAAGTATACTCACTCATATCAATTGCTGTAACGTCAGGACCAGGCATGAAGATGGGAATAGATAAAGCAGGCACCAGAGACTGAACATCATGTGACAGACTAAGACATATATGTCCATGTCCACCACACTGTTCTTGCAATGCTGCAACCCTTTGTAAGCATTTCAGTTTTTGAGCAGTCGCAAGCCATGCTATGACCTTTCAGTTTCAAGACTTAATTCTTTGCTTCAGGAATTCGGTGCCCTGACGAGCCTTCTAGATCGCCTTGGTTATGATGGGAATGGGAACCACAAGGAGGGCCGACGATTGGTGCCTTGGTGTGCACCATTTCTTTGGATCACTTTTTGCTACAAAGCCTTGTGTCAATCTCCTTTCACGCCGCTTCAACATCAGACACCACAAACTCGGAATTGGAAAACATGGACAAAACATGGACAAAACATGGACAAAACATGGACAAAAGTTTGATGTGCAAAGAAGTAGTGATAACACAAATGGTCTCTGCTATCCAAGCGGCCTTCAAGCTTGGGACCAAGGTCTTCATCGGAGTAGCTTAGCAGCACCGAGAACTGCTTCCAACCGAACTCAGAATTCTTTGGATTGGTTGATCAGTTTGTAGTCCTTGGAGTTCTGTGCAGTTCTGTTTTCTAAGGATCTGATAGACCGCGGTCCAGATTCCCCAGGTGTAGTTCGGCTAGTTCGGCACCTGATGCAGCTCGGTAAGGCAGGCCAAGTTTTTCCATCCGCCCTTGGTGATTCCAGCAAGAATCTCATATTGACCTAGAAGTGCCTTGAATTTGTAGAAGAGATATAATATAATATACTTATGGCATTTTCACCAACCTGAACATAACAGGATCAATCTGTGACAGAGCAAGTTGTGTCGCTGGGAGGCACAATGCATTCTTGGAAACCATGAGCTCAACATTCTGCGTGGTGAGCACAAACATGGCAATCACTGGTTTTTCGGCGAGACGGAAGTCATCCGCAAGGACACCGGACACGTGATCGAAAATGAACTGCGAATTGGTTGATTTGTGGTGACCAGTGAACCAGTGAACCAGTGAATCCTTTGGAGACAGGCGAAACGACTCAAACATGACTTGAACATGACTCAAACATGATGCATTTATGGAGGACAAGGAGGCAACAAGTTTTCAAGTTCTTGCAGACGAAAACTTCCAAAGGGAGGCGGTTTGGAAAACCGGCAACAGCTGTGGCGCTGTGAAACTGTTAAGTCCTGCAAACTGCAAAGTGAGTAGAGCAGCCTACCCAACCCGGTGGAAAAGGCCAGAGGTGCAAACACCCAGTATCGTGATGTCACAAAATGTGAAAGGACAGTCACAGGACATAGCAAAAGGATAACCAACAGGGGAGACCTAGCAAATCATTCCAAGCTTTACCACCTCCTTACTTATAGACTCTTATAGCATCTTATAGCTCTCGCACACTGAGCAGGTCAAAGAATTCTTCCTAAGCTTGCCGATGGCCTTGGAAAGAGATGACGTGGTTGTTGTCCATGCTGCCTGGGACGAGGAGTGTGGTTCCCAACTTCAAAGCCCTGCGTGGGTTGAAGATATTGAAGCTATCCGTCTGGACCTCACATTGGTGATTTCGAGGTCTGCAGAAAAGATGCGACAATGCGAATCAGACGTCGCCAACTTGGTATGGTTTGGACAAAACTTCTCAGGAATGTCGTTTTGCTTGAGTCATGTCTAAAGTGATGAACATTCGGAGACAAGGTATGGTACCCTGGCTGTTCTAGCATAGGTCATGGGGGCCTATGACAGCTTTGAGCGAAAGATTCAGGAAGGGTGGGCCACTGCATGTAGACACACACAAACACAAACACAAAAAAGCGCTCGAACTTCAAAGCGCAGGATCAGGATCAGATCATTCTCTGTGGATCTCCACATAGTGCCAGGACGGAATAAAGGCTGACGGCATCACAGACCAGGATGAGATCGACATGCGTGAGCAAAATCTGAACCCCGTGAAAGTCCTTTGCTCCGGCTATGAAGGACGAGAGCGGGAAGTTTGTTGCAGTTGCTATGATCGAATTTCGCAAACAACTTGACATGTGAAGGACGTGCCGCAGAGCCGTTCTTTGCGGGTGGCAAAATGAGGAATCTCGAACGATTGAAATGGTGGGAGGACTATGCTGCAAAGGACAGCAGGCCTACTGCCCCTGGAACCTCTCAACAACCTTTCGAATGATTGTTTGCCCCATTTGATCCAGTTTTTGCATGTTTTTGCATGCCTCTCAAAATTTATACAGTAGGTGGCCGTAGGTAAAATCCTTTTGGACACCAGTCAGTTTTCTTGCTCCTAGTGAAATCTCAAAGCCTGACCAGCCTCCGCAGATTGGTTGTCATTGGACATTACTGGCGGCGCTTTCTTGATGAAGTCCATCCAAAGGTCTTTGAAAAACACCCGTGCCGAAGCAGCATTCATCAAGATGGCCAACTGCATTTTGCTCGCTCTGACAGTGGTTTTCTTCAGATTAAAAGGCTTACAGATAATCCATGCATACTCTTTATCTTCTTGCCTGGCTTGTTCTGACTTCCAGACTGTTTCGTTTGTTGATTTCAGAAACCTTTTCCATGACCCATCTATCTGCGCAGTGATGTTCAGGAAGGGCTTCTTGCCATCTGGCGCTGTTGCCAAGCTGAACTTACGCTCGCTTACACTTGTTTCTGTAACGGCTGGCTGATGGAATTCAATCCTGGGTCACTCAACAAAAAACATACTCCTAACTTGGACGATTTTATTGAATTGACCATGGGGACTTCCAACCTCTAGTTCAGAGTCCCATGGAAGCGATAAAGCAATGTAGCCGTACCTTGACAATATATGTCTTCAGCAAAACGTGTGACAAAAGGAACAGTTTTACTATGATTTCCTTGTAATATCTTTGTAATCAGACATGCCATTCTTCAATTTTGTTTCCGGCAGTGCTCCTTTTTGGATCTTAGGATATGTTTCCAGGGTATTCACCCGGTTCTCTTCTCGGCCGCAAGAGGAAGGCATGGCCGAAAGTTGAAAGCTTCACAATCGAAAGGCCAAGGCTGTCGTCTCACCTCTGAGCAGGTGATTTGTGTCGATTTTTCCGTGGGCGTCCGATACGAAGAGCGTGGAATGTGTGTCGCGTCTGCAAAAAGGTAGCCTCATCCGAGACGAAGAATCCACAACAGACTTTGCATGGAAGAAACATGGCCACAGAAAAGCAGGCTTTGGATTCCTTGGACAAGGACTAGATTGTGGGTCCAACTTTCCAACCTTATTCCAAACTCTGATAGTGATATGAACTTGTCTCAAACTCTAGGTCTGCCAGAAGGTGGTCTTGGGACGCAGTTGGTTGCTCTGCGTTTGCCAGAGCAAATTCTGCAAAGAAGTGATGGACAGAGCTTGCCAGTGAATTAGGGAGCTTTGTTTCACCGGATATGACCAGGGGTCCCCGCAGGGGTCCTGAAGGGATCCTGAAATATCTGAAGCTGGAGAAAAAAAGGGGCGACAAGGGCGCGATAGGGTGAGCCTACCAGATGGCCTTTCGGCAGGCTGGAGATGGCTGCGACAATGGCAAGGTAGAGCCTGGGCACATCTGCATTTATCAGGGAAGGTTCGGGGCCTAGAGGTGGAACACCAACACTCGGGGCAATGCTGGGCGCTGGGCAATGCGCATTGCGATTCTCCCAGGTTGGGAATAGAGACAGGATGCCCCGGTGTCCTCGCTGCCGACACGAGCGCTGCCTCCTTGCTTGTCTCCTCTGATTTTCACCAGACCACGACACACCAGTGAGTCCTGTATTGCATACCAGAATGGATACAGCAATTGCATATGATCACTATCAGGCACAATTATCTAGGGGAGAAAGGTTAGTGTTTGTGTTGTGATGTTTGTGCATAGATCTGCACGACTGGCCCAAAAAGGATCAAAAAAGGTAGGTAAGTGTTCTGATCTCCACTGCTGCCAGACAATTATTTGACCTTTACTGCAGATGACTGTCGCATCCCATGCCACTTGGCTGCAAACCAAATCATATGTCACTCTGAAGAAATCATGTGTAAATTAGCCATGAGTACCTACGCGCACGTACATCATCGCGTATGTCACGTATACCTGCACGCTCACACGTATATTTTACAAAATAGCATATACATATATATATACGGAATCTCCCGACTTTTCCTCCCAAAATATCAATAAAGCCTAGGTGGAGATGGCATTCGTCACATTGTTGCCGGCGAGGATGGCGTGGAGTGCACATGAAAAGGACTTTTTGTGCTAAAATGGCACCTCAACAGTTCAAGACATGCAGGAGTGCGATGATGGCAACATCATCAACGGAGACGGGTGCACATCGTTTGACCCTTGGTGTTCTCTTCAGGTTGTGGCAAAAATCTGCGAAGGTCACCACAGATACATTCATGCACGTATTTTTCCACTCCGCAATCGGCATGGCTACAGCTGCAGGGCCTCTAGCAATCTGCACCATGATTCTCACATGTCTTACTAAGTCCCGATTTCTTGACACATGTGTCATTCATATGTGATACAAAATAGACAGCTTGAACACCTTTGCCTAACTAGCATCAAACCTTTGTTTCAGGGACTGCCGCATTGAGACTGGCTACACCTGCCCCACTGTTGGTTGGCCTCAGGCGCAGCTTCAGCACAATGAGTTTCTGTCACCTATACTTTTTGAAGGGCTTTCTGAGGGTGATTCTGTAGAACGCGACAATTTTGCACTCCACGTTCACGTTGTATGTTTTCAATCCTGCCTTTGAGCTATTTAGGGTAGCCGGATACCTCCTCTGTTTTATCAGCATAGACAAATGGGCAGTGTTAAGTCATGATTCTCAAGCTTGGAACACTTGGAAGCTGATGTCGTTGGTATATACTTCCTATCCCCAGGTTGGTCAAACTTGTGCACTGTAGACACTGTAGTCATCTGTAGTCCTGTAAAGCAAGATGTTGAACAGCTGCAAGATCTGCAAGACACATGGGGCCGTGATCCGACAAGACATGCTATATCATGCTATCAAAATATGAGTGCAATCATGTGCAATCTGATTTCATGCAAAAAATGTGTATCTTTGAGTCTCAGAGAAAAACATAGCTTGCTATCCCACAGATGCTTCATGAAGTTCAAACATATTCTATTCAAAAGCCTACTGTACGGTTACCGTAAGTACATGTAAGTACAAGGTCATGCCAACAGGGTCTCTTTTTATAGGCATCCAACGGCCCTGAGACCCTTGAGAGCTTCCAGGTGCTACTCACACCATGCCGTGCCATTTGTGGAGATGGTCTGCGACTGGGTGAGGACAGACGCAGTGTTGATGACAGCTGGAAGTGAAACCGAAGGAATATGGGAATGAGTTTCAATTCAGGCTGGCAAGGATCGTGCTTGACAGTCAGTACAGATAATATTAGTGCATAAACATGAAATCAACTGCACTTTCCCCATTCGAGGAAGAATGCGATGACAATAATACTGTGGCTGGTGATGGCTGTGGACCAGACTGCAAGGCGCTGCTTCATGGCCACAGAAATCAAAATGAGAAACACATCCATTTCCATCAGATTCCGTCTTCAGTGAAACGAGTTATGTAGCCATGTAGGATTTGTGATTGAGGTGGAGCTGGGTTGGTTCTGCAAGAGGAAGCCAGACGACACTGGAGAGGTTCCACTTTTGGATTCCATTGCAGTCTGTGGAATCACAGTTGGATGGGTAAACGTCCCATACTTCGCTACCATGGGACTCCACGAGGGAAATCTGAGCGTGACATATTGTAGATCTTGTGAGATTGTGGGGCCAGGTGTGCTTGAACACCTGCCTGAATGGAATCATTGACCCTGGCGAAGAATGCGATGATGCCAACACAGCAGCTTGCTTCAAATGGCCACACTGCACGAATGTAAAGGACAAAGGACTACGGGAATTGTGGAGAATTCCTCCTTGTGTATTTCATGTTGTAGACCTTGGGGAACCAGCTAGCAGAGTCTCTTCCCGAACTTTGTTGTTCCACACAGCTTTTTGCGAACCATCAAGCGCATCAATCATCATCAATCCATGTGCAGCATCTGAGTTTAGCGATGATGGCTGTGCCAATTGCATTGTCGAGCCTGGGTGGAGCTGTCGGGTGCCAAGCAAGCTCAGCAGGCATTGCAAACATTCAAGGCCTTGCTATTCCAAGTCTGTTTGTCCGGTGCCAATTGCAAGTTATTTCCAGACTCTGTACGTCTTGCATGAATGGTGTTCAAAATTAGCCATGATCTTAGCGATCACCTTTTGTTGATTGTTGTTTGACTCTTTGGTTGGAGTTGAGCACTTGGACACTTGGACTTTGTAAATGTTCTTCACTACGGGCTCAGGCGAAGTCATTGCAAACCGGCAGACTAGTACATCCTCTGGGAGTTTCTGCGTCCCTGTCTGTGGAGACGGCTTCCGGATTAAGTCGGACCCTTTGATGCGCCCCGCAACAGTTTCGCTCGGCACGATTTTGCCTTGACTGCCAAAGCCTTTCAAAGCCAAGTTTGGAGGGTTCCCAAGTTTGGAGGGTTCCGAATCTCACATTGCTTTGGTTTGATATCCTGAAATCACAATGGTTTCATGATGTTTCGTGGTCGAAGTGTTTCAACTTGCTGTTCGTTTCTTTCCTCGTCTACAAAGGTCTGGACCTATGGCTGAGCAGTGTGATGATGGAAACAACCTGGTTTGGTCCACAGGTCGTTTTCGTTCCTATGAAGGAAATTGATGGAAATTGGCTCACAGATGTAGCAAGATGTAGCAAGTAGCAAAAGCACTTCTTGTTTCAGGCTGGTGATGGCTGTGATCCGAGCTGTCGCATTGAAACTGGCTGGACCTGTGTCTCCCAGGCGGAAAGCATGGATAGCATGGATGGCATGGAAAGCATATGGAAAGCATATGGAAAGCATATGGAAAGCATGGCATTCATATACATTCATTGAGAGTTCCTGAAAACATCGATTTCGATTTTTTCGAAGATTGACAATCTTTGATCGGCTGCTGTGAAGCATTGCCAGGCATCCGAGGTGCCCGTTCGGTGAAACATTTTGAGTGTTTTGGGGTTTCTTACAGGTGTATCTTTCAAGCAGATCTCACTTCTGTTCGTTTCTTCTTTACTTTCTTCTGCTTCATGAAGATGAGAATATGTCAAAAGCATTCAAAAGCCCAGAACTTTCCCAGGGAGAAGAGCATGCAGCTGACATTCCTACAATGTCCTACAATCCCTTCTAGGTGAACACCACAGCCTTGCGCTGCGAGCCCGTTTGTGGAGACGGTCTTCTAGTTGTAGGTGAAGGATGCGATGATGGCAACAAGGACTACAGATGCTGCAAGCTCTGTTTCTTATGTGTCCTGCATCTCCTTTGAAGAACATCACAACCCTTTCTGAATTTCCAATGTTTTCCGTGTTCTTGGAGTAGGTTTTATCATTAGAATCATTAGAACTCTCTTTTGCTGCGGCTTCCTCTCCGCCAGTTTGGTCTCGCTTTTTGTGAACTCAAACGCCAATCTACACTTCGAATACTTGGACCACTGTCCTTTCTTTCTATTTCTCACTGCTGCAAAGTTGCTTTTTGCTTCCTGGGTTGACTCAGCTCGACCTCACACAGGACTCTGGCGATGGATGTAGTGCATCTTGTCAGGTGGTGCCGTGCTTAGGCAGGAAGGACTCACCTGGGACCTTTACACAGCGGCAAGCCAGGTCACAGCGCCAGAAACCTGATTGACGTAACACTCCAGCGGACACAACATAGAGCACCATAGTGGTGCAGAAAAGCAAACGCAGCAAAATTGCATCACAACACATCACAATACATCGCAACACATCACAACACATCACAACACCATTTTATGCGTCTTGTCTTGGGAAGGTTTTTTCTTTGAAGCCTAGCTCGAGCTGAGGAGCGTGGCTTCGTTTGCTCACCCGAAGACTACTTAACGAAGTCAGAGGCGCTGCTGTGGAAATGTGAAGGCAAGCAGAGCAACACAAGGAGCTAGGACACCAAATATTGGTGACTACTGGTGACTGCAAAGCTCACTCATCCTGCAGGTGGCAACAGGGCTGCCGTTTGCAGCACAGAACAGGCACGGAAGCTGTACTCGCATGGAAATATCTCGATTCGGAGCAACAAATTTATGAATCTTCATGATGGAATCTTGAACCCCGTGAGAGGACCATTTGTATACCAATTTGCGGCGATGGTCTGGTCCTGCTGACTTTTGGAGAAGCTTGCGATGTCCGACCCTTACAAATTCAAAAACATGTTGAGCTGTGACTGCCTGCGGAGAGAGATGGGTGCATTGCTGCAGTGCTGCAGGATGGCAATCGGGTTCCCGGCGATGGTTGCGCCACAGCCCCAGACAGTACTTGTCTTCGCACTTACAGTGGTGACACAAGGAGAAAGAGTAGGGACTTGCTCGGGCCTGACTCATTGGTATTTTTGCTCTTCTAGTTTCTCAACTTGCAGCGAAACAGGCTTTGTATGCCACGAAGTGAGAGTTTGGATTTGAGCTTGAATTACCTTGTTTTGGCGGATGTGATTGGGCAGAGCGGAGTTCGGAAGTTTTCTGAATGCTGGTTGAAGTGTACCCATGTATGTTTTCCGGTGTTTGGATGTGTTTGGCATGAGGTGGTTTGGAAATGGCTGTGAGACTACTGACATGGGCTTGTCTCAGGATGAGAATTGTGCAATAGAGCCTGGGTACACTTGTGGAAGTGGAGGCCGCAAAACTGTGGACAGCCTGTGCACAGCGTTTCGTTTCGCTTCTTAAGCAGTCCACATAGCGAATGATCACCCACAGGTCCTTGTCATGTTTTGCCTGATGCACATCTCCCAGTTTTGATCTGCAAATCTCCCAGTGTCTGAGCAGCGTTTGACTACCTGTAAGGCGTCTCTTCATCATCAGTTTGTTCGCCAATTTGCAAACAACTCAGTCACTCAGTCGTCCTTTCAAATCCATAGCAACAGTGCAGTGACACAAGATTGTAAACGGAAGTGGTCTTGCAGTCAATGCTAGAGTATCCGGTTACATGCACATCGAGAAGTTCATGACTCTGCTTCCAAATACTGCATGATGTCTTTTGGAAAGGGAGGATGATTAGATCTCATGACTACAGGGTCAGCACTTGTCTAGTGGCAGAACATGAACTGATGACAGCTCCTTTGTGGCCAGTCGCGAAACCCAAAATCAGTGGCTTGTTTTTTGAAGACGGTTTCTGACATAAACTCAGCTGAGAACCAGTGATCACATCCAGGTGGTGATGGCCTCTTGCGTTCTCCAGAACAGTGCGATGATGGAAATACTGGGAAGGGAGCGGAGGGCTCAATCCGCTTCGGAAGAGACACATAGATTATTGATCCACTTCAAAGGCAATAGTTATGTACCAACTTCTAGCCAAAGTAAGCCACAAACCATCCACAATCCACAACATTGACAATATCGCAGATGTATTGGACAGCAAACGCTCGCACATAGACCTTGCACGGATAGAAACCTTCTTGGAAATGAATGACACACTGGTGTGCACCTGTGCATTTCCCACATTCAAAACATGTAGTGCGCCAGAACAGACAGATGTGCGCGGCGTGTTCTTGGAATGCACATGCAAAGGCCCATAGGCTGATTGTCTTGGCCACCTCTTTCATGTTCTTTCTATTGTGTAAAGCTCTGTCACAATTGAATTTTCCACCAACTCTCTATGGAGCCAGTGGCAAGACGTGCTGATGCCCTTTTACTATGGGAACTTTGCACCGATCAAGCCGGCCGCAGACTGAAACCGTAATGGACACATGGGCACACAAAAAATGACGCTAGTTCCTGGTTCAGCTTTGTGCAGGCCAGAGCTTGAGACCTGACACCCCAATGCTTCTCAGCAGCTCTTCTGTGAGTCTGAAAGAGAATGTTTGTAGGCTTTAGGGTCCCAACCAGAGGGTTATTAACACTTTCTTGGACAAAGGGCTGTTGCAGCGAAAGAGATTTGTCAACCAAAACTTGCGCATAACGCAGTTTTGCCATTTTGCCCAGACCGTTTCGACATCTCATTTTTTGGACGGACCTTTGAGTGCAGATGCGACGAGTAAAGCTTTGATCCATAAGGTAGCAAAAAGAAAGACGATTCCAACGGGTGACCCCACTCACTCGCTATTGGCAGAGCACATTATTGGTGCAATTGGTTTTTCCGCTTCCAATTTTTGCCGCGTTGAGTTCCAGCAAGACAACCATACCTTTCAGGGAAAATGGAAAAGTCTGGAAAAACACGGAAAAACAATGAAAACATGTTTTGCATGTGGCCCCTTCGTGATTGATTCGTGAACGTGTTGCACACAGTCTTGGTGGAGCTTAGGATGGCTGCAACGAGCAGTGCCAGCTTGAACAGGTTGGAGCGTTTTTCTTCTTTGATGCACTAGTACTGCTTGTGGAAGTGGTTGTCATCCCATCATTTCAGATGATTCAAGAGCACAAATTGGAAGAAACATGAATGACTATAGTGACTATATACTACAGTAAATCTCTCTCTCTCTCTCTTTCTCTATGTGTATGTATATATATATATATATTTAAGGGCTGCCGCCCCTGCCGCCGACCCCGGAACAAGCAACCGAGGTTGGCTGATCTTTTGGGCGTGTCCCACCATTTTGAATGGGCCATATTTCGTCTTTCAAACAACCTCATCTGCTTACCTAGTGTCATTATTTATTTAGAAAACTGTCGCCCAAAACAGCCGTTGCTGCTGCTGCTGCTAACAGAAGAGTAGCAAGAGCACCTCCCGGCACCAAAACAGCAAGGCACGGAAGGACGAACAGGCCACAGAATCGCACCGAAAAAGTGCCTAACGTCCCTTCTGAATTCCTAGAAAAAATGTCTTTTTCCAAGCCTTTTCCGCTTTTTCAATCTTCCATCAGCTCACCTGCTGCTGCTGCTGCTGTTGCTGCTGCTGCTGCTGCTAACAGAAGAGTAGCAAGAGCACCTCCCGGCACCAAAACAGCAAGGCACGGAAGGACAAACAGGCCCCAGAATCGCACCGAAAAAGTGCCTAACGTCCCTTCTGAATTCCTAGAAAAAATGTTTTTTTCCCAACCTTTCCCGCTTTTTCAATCTCCCATCAGCTCACCTGCTGCTGCTGCTGCTGCTGTTGCTGCTGTTAACAGAAGAGTAGCAAGAGCACCTCCCGGCACCAAAACAGCAAGGCACGGAAGGACGAACAGGCGACAGAATCGCACCGAAAAACTGCCTAACGTCCCCATTGAATTCCTAGAAAAAATGTCTTTTTCCCAACCTTTTCAGCTTTTTCAACTTCCCATCAGCTCAGCTCACCTGCTGCTGCTGCTGCTAACAGAAGAGTAGCAAGAGCACCTCCCGGCACCAAAACAGCAAGGCACGGAAGGACGAACAGGCCCTAGAATCGCACCGAAAAACTGCCTAACGTCCCTTCTGAATTCCTAGAAAAAATGTCTTTTTCCCAACCTTTTTCCGCTTTTTCAATCTCCCATCAGCTCACCTGCTGCTGCTGCTGCTGCTGCTGCTAACAGAAGAGTAGCAAGAGCACCTCCCGGCACCAAAACTGCAAGGCACGGAAGGACGAACAGGCCCTAGAATCGCACCGAAAAACTGCCTAACGTCCCTTCTGAATTCCTATAGAGAAAAAATGTCTTTTTCCAAACCTTTTCCGCTTTTTCAATCTCCCATCAGCTCACCTGCTGCTGCTGCTGTTGCTGCTGTTAACAGAAGAGTAGCAAGAGCACCTCCCGGCACCAAAACAGCAAGGCACGGAAGGACGAACAGGCCACAGAATCGCACCGAAAAACTGCCTAACGCCCCTTCTGAATTCCTAGAAAAAATGTTTCTGTCTTTTTCCCAACCTTTTCCGCTTTTTCAATCTCCCATCAGCTCACCTGCTGCTGCTGCTGTTAACAGAAGAGTAGCAAGAGCACCTCCCGGCATCAAAACAGCAAGGCACGGAAGGACGAACAGGCCACAGAATCGCACCGAAAAAGTGCCTAACGTCCCTTCTGAAATCCTAGAACTGCTGCTGCTGCAAACAGAAGAGTAGCAAGAGCACCTCCCGGCACCAAAACAGCAAGGCACGGAAGGACGAACAGGCCCTAGAATCGCACCGAAAAAGTGCCTAACGTCCCTTCTGGATTCTTAGAAAAAATGTTGCAGAACAGAAGAGTAGCAAGAGCACCTCCCGGCACCAAAACAGCAAGGCACGGAAGGACGAACAGGGCCTAGAATCGCACCGAAAAACTGCCTAACGTCCCTTCTGAATTCCTAGAAAAAATGTCTTTTTCTTAACCTTTTCGGCTTTTTCAATCTCCCATCAGCTCACCTGCTGCTGCTGCTGCTGCTGCTGTTAACAGAAGAGTAGCAAGAGCACCTCCCGGCACCAAAACTGCAAGGCACGGAAGGACGAACAGGCCCTAGAATCGCACCGAAAAACTGCCTAACGTCCCTTCTGAATTCCTAGAGAAAAAATGTCTTTTTCCCAACTTTTTCCGCTTTTTCAATCTCCCATCAGCTCACCTGCTGCTGCTGCTGCTGTTGCTGCTGCTGCTGTTGCTGCTGTTAACAGAAGAGTAGCAAGAGCACCTCCCGGCACCAAAACAGCAAGGCACGGAAGGACGAACAGGCCACAGAATCGCACCGAAAAACTGCCTAACGTCCCTTCTGAATTCCTAGAAAAAATGTCTTTTTCCCAACCTTGTCCGCTTTTTCAATCTCCCATCAGCTCACCTGCTGCTGCTGCTGCTGCTGTCGCTGCTGCTAACAGAGTAGTAGTAGTAGTAGTAGTAGTAGTAGTCGTAGTAGTAGTAGTAGTCGTAGTAGTAGTAGTAGTAGGAGTAGGAGTAGGAGTAGGAGTAGGAGTAGCAGCAGCAG